GACTGCGAGAGGGTTGTTCCAGATCGCTGGAAACCCTTGCTCCGAATACCATGACGAATAAACTTCCGTGCTAAGGCAAAAAGGATAAAAAGCCACCGGAATATTATGACACATATCGATTCACTAAACGCTCATTACTCATTCTCCTTGTAGCTAATTTTTGTGAGGCAAACAAAACTAAACGGATGTTTCGGGAAACTGTATTGGTTTTATTTTTTTTTTCTCAAAAGAAAGTACGGTAGAACAAGAGCGCCGCAACGTGGCAAAACGGTTGACGTAATTTTGGAATAGCACCAATGAGGTGCAAGGTTTTGTCTCCGCTCTCCAAAAACGAGCACGGCCGTCCTTGAACATCTCCACAAAAACTTGAATAAGTAAATTGTTTGTTTGAATGAACAGCTACCTCCTGTTTGCATACGTGATTTAAGTACGCTCATTTCGATCGACATCGGATCATGACGTCAGAAAAAAAAGCAAAAATTAGCCGTGACTTCGACGTCACAAATACCTACACATCCGATTCTGCGGACCGATTATTGAAACTGATAGATAAAGCGATAGACAAAGACGACAAAAGGGATTTGGAGGGATCCTATTGGTGGAAACGGGTTGTTGCAATGGACAAAGGAGGTAGGTAATCGACTAAGTAACGGCAACCCACGAGAAACCCGACAGTTAGTCTATCAGTTTCCCCCTTAGTCGATGAGAACCACCCATTTCAACCAATAGAATTGCTTTATACCCCCTATGTCATCTTTGTCTATCGCTTTGTCTATCAGTTTCAATAATCGCCCCGCTGCTGTGCTCTTGCATGGTTTCAATTTCCCACCTCTTATCACACCTGTTAAATCGTCACTCCTCTAAGGCAGGACAGATGCGGATCTAGCCATGTGGCAACAACGAATTCCTCCATTTAAACCCATGCTAATTAATCGATTCTCGTTGGAGCACTTGGCCCCTCCAAGAATCGATACATTTCCATAGGTTTAAATGGAGGAAATCCGGTGTTGCCAAATTGCTGGATCCGCCAATGGGGCAGGGGCGTAACTAAATTACGAAATGAGCCTTGACACCCCTATGACTTAGTGCTTCCTGTGGCTCATGCCGAAACTGAAGTGTGCGCTTCCATTGGGGGAGCGACGAAAGGTGCAAAAGAGTGAAACCTCACAAAATAAAAGTGAATTTAATGAATAATTTCTTTCAGCACGCTCAGACCTACAGGAGCTAGCGGGGATTGTTCAATTATGCTTAATCTCATTTCTTGCTCCCCCGATCTCGCCATCCATTCGGATTAAGTCTAATAAAATCGCACCGTGTTGCTGTTTAGAAAGAAAGTTGAAAGCAGTTTTGAATTCAGTTTGTCATAAAATTGCTCTTGTCAAACATTCAAAAACGAGAACAAAATATTTTGAACGTGAGAATATTTGTTAAATTTTTAAACACTGAATCTTATGGAGGAATAAAATGTCAAACCTTATTTTTCCCGGTTCCAACTTGATTCCTCAGGCTTGGCGTGGATGTTCGATTATCGATATTTCCCCATTTGAGGCTATGGTAAAGAATCGATTATTGAGCTGCTCGTTACGCACACCCTGCTTATCAATCCTTTTCTATAGGTTAAGATGGCAGGTCAATCGATATATCGCAAAGCACGCCACGCCACTGCTGGTGAGTTTATGTTATCCCGGTCCATCCCATCATTTCATTTTCATCAAGAGTCCTGGATTTTTTTTTATGGGAAACATATTTTTGCCCATGGCTAAAGATGTTACAAAATTCAACTCTATGCATTCCCACACTGTGTTCCTGTTCTTCGAGACCATTTGTCACTTCCAAAATCACAGGAAAAAGTTGATTAAATGGGTCGCGTTCAACATCTTTATCGAGCCGATTCATCGTAAAAAAGCAATCAACCATAAATAATTACACCTGATTCCTTTCTACTCCCGGGCATTGCGTCCAAAAATATTCAAGAAATCAAGAATATTTCAGCACCAAGAGAATACGACTGTAAATCGCATTCTCAGCTTAAAAAAAAAAAAATGTTCACTTATTAATTCAGTAAACATTTCATGAAGAGAAAGCCATGAGTCAGGTTCATATAGTCCATGCTTTTGAGTTTTGCTGTTGCTGCGGCTACGAAGAGTTCGATCACAGCTACCTAACTGTAGGCTGCAGGTGGCATCATAAAATATGCAACCTGCCCGAAAGGGACAGTTGAGCGAGACAACAATGTTTAACTCCCTTTACTAAACTATCGATTATTTCTATCACAGGTAGGTCTGTTTTATTCAACACCCCCCCCCCCCACATTACCACCCTTCCTCAGGAGAATCACGACGGCATCGCGGTGTGCAGTGGCGTGGCGTGAATTGCGATATATCGATTGTTATGCCATTTAAACCTATGGTAAAGAATCGATTTATTAAGGTGTTCGCTGCGAATACCCTGTTTATCGATCCTTTTCCGCAGGTTTAAATGGCATGACAATCGATAAGTCGCAAAGTACGCCTCGCCACTGGCGGTGTGCTATACAATGAATCGATAGGTATAGCATTGGTCGAAAAAAACCTACTTCCTTTTTCGTGTTCAAAAATATAGGAATGAGTATGTCCGAATTTTTTTGGAAAGGAAGCTAACATTGATGTGGCTAGAATGGTCCTAGGGGGGCAACCCCCCCCCCCCTGCTGAAGGCTGTTGACCCTCCCCAATTTGTATTCGCGATCGCACATAGTCGCTCAATACCTGCACTAGACCCCCCTGAAAGAGCAAACGGGCCTTAACCCCTTTCCCCAAAAACTCTAGCAATATAAACGCCCATTAAAACTATAAATTATTTCGCCTTAAAATTGTTATTGAATGTTTATTAATACGTAAAGACGATTCTCAGCAAATTAGTGAAGAAACTGCTGGTTAGGGTTTTGTTTGAAAAAAAAATCGCCAAGAACCGCTACGTCGTGATTAAAGACACGCGTTTTTTTTACTTCAACCGTCAAATTATGAGGGAGTAGAGAATTTGCAGGTGTCTCAAATTTGATGAATGTTGTGTTTAAGTGGGAACCGGAAACTACTGAGCGAACTGAACACGAGGATGCCCTTTGCTCATGAATTGAACGATTATTGGAAATAATATGACGAAATGATCTAATCTGCTAAAATACATGTGTTTAAATGGGAAATGCCGCCAGATGACGTCATTATATAGGCGGTTCATTTTCTCACTTTTAAATATATTTTTATACTATTTCCCATATCAGAAAAAAATTATAAAAAAAACTGTGAAATCAGCTCTTAAGCGCCTTCATATGAAGCAATAAAAAATGTGCATGCAAATTCTCTATTGCTCATATACCATGACAACAATAATGACAGATATATTTTGCGTCAACGCCAAAAACGCCTGGTTGATTAGGTACATTTCAAACGCAATTCAATCTGTATTTAAACTCAATCTAAGTTGAGGTTTAGGAGTGAACCAAAGATCATCAACTTTTTTTAGGAGAAATGAGAAGCGATTCGGGCTAGTTGAGAGAAGCAAATAAGTACTTATGCTCAGGAATTTAAAACGAGGATCAAAGCAAACGATACAGTGCAGGTCACATCACCATAATTACTGTCTCAATTACTTTTGGAACGCCTTGATGGACTGTTTATCTTCATTTGCCGTCTCTCAAAGGACGAAATGCACGAGCTGTTTATCATGTCTGAATATTCATATCCTGCGTTTACTTTTTATTCGTGAAAGAAATTTTCACCGCGTGGGAGTCGGGGGGTCGCTCTCAATCGTGTATCGAATAAGACATGTTTTCTGAGTGAAGAAAATAAGAAGTACCCACTCGAGAAGGGCTCAATTAGATAACCAAAAAATATTTACACCAACTGACCAAAATTTTCCGAAATAAAGGAGAGAAAATCTCAAACTTAGAGGTAAAACGACGATTTTTCGACCCTCTTTCAATCCCACCCTCAGCAAAAAATTCGTGAAGAACACAATTAGGAAACAATGAGACGGTGCGGCAAGAAGAGATAAATACATGTTTAAATCGTGAATTGGATTCATTGGCTTTGAATTACCTTCCACCTTTATTTATACAGCCGTTTTTAAAAACTGCATTCTTCTAAATGACAGCCAGAATCAAACTTTTGATTTATTTATACCTCTACTAGGTACCTTGTTGGTTTTCGGCTAAACTCTATTTGAGGGATTTGGAGGACACGCCGCTAAAGTGCAGTTATTGCTATTCCGAGAAATGCGTTTTTGAAGGTATGAAATCAAATGGATCTTCAAGGCGCAAAGAAAGTTCAAACTGATTTTTTGATGCTTCAAAATTGGAAGTTGGAGGCGAATTTTTCACAGAATACATTAAGACTTTAGGTTTACCTGAAATCATTAATTTCTCATTTTTTTCAAAAGTTGCATTAGCTATGCGCCTTGTCCTCCAAGCCCCTCATTGCACAAAAAAATGTGTAAAGTATTTTAAAAAAGAGTCATTTTTCGCAATTTTCTTATTCTTCTGAATTCATTATTTGGCGGTTTCTATCTTGCACAGTCAGCAGGATTTTAACAAGTGACTTACTGAATGAACCACTTAATAAGAAATTAGTGACCCTCGGTGAAACTACACTGGAAAAAAAACACATCGGATCTAGAGTCCAGACTCTTAAAAACATCGACAAGAAAAATACTCTTGATTCAATCGGATTTTTGCTTAAATCAAGAACCAAGCCTCTTAATTTGAGCGGATTTCCTTTCATTTCAGCTTAAATCTGATTGAATCAAGAGTATTTTTTCTTGTCAATGTTTTCAAGAGTTTGGACTCTAGATCCAATGTGTTTTTTTTTTACAGTGTAAGATACTGAGAGCAGAAGAGGAGCTGCAAGAGTTTCGAATTTTCCACGATGCAAATTGCATAAGCGTAAAACTGAAGGAGCGGACAGTTGAAAAAACCCCTCGGGCCTCGACAGCACAGCCGAAGGTAAAATAGGAAAAAATAACTCACCGATGGGAGGCACTTAATCCAATGAACCAAACACAATTCACAACTCAACAACTCGCGAACACAACTCGGGCGCGTTTCAACAAGTGCGAACGGCGGTCTCGCAAAAAATGCACAGGGTGAGTGAGGAGTGGCGTGGAGGGAAAAGGGAAAAAGGAAAAGGGAGCAGCTCCCTCGGGCTGGGAAAATGAGGGGTGGCGATGACGATGGTGGCGTAATTAATTGAATGGGAAGTCAAAATGGAGCGACGCGGCGCGCGCGACGGTGGTGAATTGAGACGCGCGAACTCTAACCGCAACTACGGACCAACGGGCGTGTAAACATTCCCGGGCCCGAGCGACAGGTTCACGAGTTCGTCCCCGTCCAATCCCCGGCTCCCGTCATAGTGTCGACGAAAATATCGTGACGCAATACTCCGACGCACAGTGAGCGCCCGCCGCGTCCCACGCCGTTCACAAAAGTAGGGATCCCCGTTTTTTCCAAAAATTTCATTCCGAGAACCCCATTTGGATGCATGTGACTTATAATCCTCCATCAAACGCTCGGGTGTATTGATATCTCAGTGTGTTTTCACCGCCAGTGCCTTTTACAACATTTACACAGCTAAATACAATCGTTAAGATTGTTGATTGCATGACTAACCCCCTCAATAAAAAAAAAAAAAATTAGCAAAAAAGAACCAGCGCGATAACAGTGTTGTAAAAATGTTGTTTCTTCATGATTGTCTGAGGAAAACCTCCCAGTGCGCGGCAAGAAGTTTTGGCTTCCCACCAAAAAATTGTTCATGTTAAACGCATATAATTGTATAAATTTTAATACTGTACATTTATTAAGTATATATTTTTAGAAGAAAAGGAAAAGTTGCACAATATCGAAAACACTGTAATCGCGCTGGTTCCTTTTTGCTGAATGCGGTCCACTTGATTTTCGGTAAAACATCGATTCGATTTTAAAATCGGATGGAGAGAATCGATTCGATTTTAAAATCGGACGGAAAAATCGATTGGACTTCAAAATCGGATGGAAGAAATCGAGTCCATTTTAAAATCGGATGGAAAAAATCGATTTCAAATAAATTCGATTTTTTTTTCGAAATCGTTTTTAAAACGCTTAAAAGTCCAAGTTTGGCGCCCAAAACATTACTACTATTAAATCTGAGCTTGAAATGAAACTCGGGTTTCACAGAACCTACACCCTACGTGGCACATTGACACTGTAGGAAATTTCGATTTTTCTCCCTAATAATTCGATTTCGGCTCGAAAAATCGATTCCGTTAATAATCGACCTTGAAAAATCAATTCCGCTTTTAATCGACCTCGAAGATTACATCCGATTTAATCGATTTTTCGGCGCAAAAAATCTATTAACAATTGCCACCCCTACAGAAAAGCTCAAAGTAATTAAAGCCTAACATACAGGGATAGAATATTTCATGGAATTTATCGCGTCAAGTTTCACGCGGAAAATTTCTTGAAATGTTTCGAAACTTTTCACCCACCCCAGGGTCAGGGTGAAATGTCGCAAACGCCGCACGAGGTTTCGTTATTTCACTATCAAACCCTCCCGTCTTACATCAAATAGGTACTTTCTTGCCTACTCCTAAAAGACAGATTAACATGGTGATTCCCAGCTTGACACCTTTAACGTCTCGCGGATTTCTCTGGCTGACACCTCTGAAAAAGAATGTGCACGAGACAATGAAGGCTCCTCAGAGGTTGCAGAACATTCTCCGCCATATTTCGCCTTCAATTTCTGAGATAGGCCAAAATAAAGTCCTCTGCGCTTCAAATGTTGCCTATTTGAGGATTAGATGCTTGCCTCGAGGTAAATTGTGGACAACTCCTAGCAACTGATCTATCGCTACTAATTTGATTAGTTTTATTTTCAGAGACCCTTTTTACGTATTTAGGAATTGTTTGTCTTCTAACTAAACATGAATTTACATTGGACATTTACAATCACCTCCTTGGATTCCTCCACGTTTTGTTCTCATCCTTCCCTTTTGTTTCCGTTTTTGCTCCCTTCCTCTCCCTGTCTCTCCCTCCCCCTCTCCCCCTCCATCCTTTCCTCTCACGTCTCTCATTCTCTCCCTTTTTATTTCCATTCTTTCTCTTTTCCTCAGCCATCTCATTACATTGAGCAAAAAAAGAATATACCCTATCACTGAATTTCAAAAAAACATGTGAGAAAAAACGGGAGACAAGGCTAAAAATTACACATAGAAATCGGAGACGTTTTGGCCCAAAACTGAGCCATTTTCAGTCCGAAGAATAAAGATAGATATAAAAATTCCATAAAGAGACCTGCATGCATTTTTCTCGACCATCATGTAGTTTGCAGGTGTCTATTTGGAATTTTTTTAAATTTTAATTCTATTTTCCCGACTGAAAATGGCTCAGTTTTGGACCGAGACGTCTCGGATTTGTATGTGTAATTTTTAGCCTTGTGTCCCGTTTTTTCTCCTATGTTTTTTACATCATTATTGTCACAGGCTGCTATTTTAGAAATTTTAACCTCTTACTGAATATCCTACGGGAAAGAGGCAGCGGCCCACAGGGCGACGGGGGTTGGACGGGGATGCACGGAGGGCGAAGGAACGCGCGTCGGTACGTGAACGGCGGTGGGGTGGGGTGGGGGGGGGGGGGGGGGGGGTAAGCGCCAGCGCCTTCGCGAGACTTTTCCAGAGCGCAGCACTGCACAAAAATTGATCTGAACCCAAGGCCAGCAAAAGCTCCCGTTTCAAGGTGGCGCGTACAACCACAACTACTTGTTGGTCGCCGCTCCCGCCCATATGTCCCACTTGCCGCACCGTTCTCGCTCAACCCAGGCTGGATCAGGGCTCATCTCCTCATTCAGAGAAGAAATGTGCGCAGGCACAGGGACTTTTCCACCATGCGACCATCCATTCCAACCGACCGCTATTCTGCTGTGCTGACGAAGAACGTCAAAACTCAAGAATAGGAAGAAATAAGTCGGATAATGACTGAAAGATCACGAAAGTCTCGAAACTGATTTTTTTTTGGGGGGGGGGGTCGCTAATTTTGAATTTGATGTCAAATTGCCTGCATTTTAACACCCTTACCTCTAAATTATGGGCAACTTTATAGCACGCTGCGGTGCGCGGCGCGGCGTGTTGCCGCTGCAAGCTCGAAACGCGCACTGACGCCTACAAACCTAAAGAGATACTTCAAGCATTGCGCAATGCGTGCGGTAGCCCTTTAGGTTTGTAGGCGTCAGTGCAAGTTTCGCGCTGGTAGCACGCCGCGCCGCCCCCGACGGACAAACGATTTCTTGCGGGGAGAGCTCCCTGGTGGAGAAACTCGTACATCGTGTAATTTTTTTTTTTTTTTTTTTTTTTTTAATTTTTAATTTTTGACTTTTAAAATTACACACTGGTCGTGTGTAGCAATAAGTGAACTCTCTACGCTAGATGAAGTGTAATAATGAAAGGCAGGTCGTGCGCCATGCGCGCTGCGGACGGTACATAGCGGCTCATGAAAGTCTCCCCTGTGCTCTGTCGCTCGACGGATGTAAGGTGCGTCATTTTGAATTTCCCGCGCAAATTTCAAACGAAATGTGCGGTAGCCAATCATAGAGTACTCTATGTAGCCAATGAACGTGAGGTTTGGTGTTGTGTTTTGTTTGTGAGAATTTTGAGGTTAGGGAGAGGAGAAAGTAAACAACATGTGAAAACTGAAGGTTTCTTCATGGTTTCTTCGTGCTTCTGTGTTCATGCTTGTGTTAATAATTTAATATCAAACTTCTTCTTTGGATTGATACATCTATGATTACATTAAGAGTTTGACTACCTTTTGAAGTCTCAGCTTCATCATTTTACTCGTCAAATGGGTACCTAAAGCCTCTTGATCTTGTTTGACCTGTTCTGAGGGCTCCTGCTAGCTCAACCTTTAAAACGTAAGAACATATTTTTTTAGCTTCTTTTCAAATAATGTAACGCACTCCACTTAAAGCTCTTCGGTTTGAGCATTGCATAATAAAGCATGACCTCTAAGCCGAATCTTATGTTTGAAGTCTCATGTTTCTCAGACGCATGGTGAAGGCATAACACCATTTTTTTTACGAATCTGTTAAGTCCAGTAAGTTTCAAATACTCACCTTCTGTAAGTCTACAACCAAAGTCCTTGCATAAAAGACATTGAATTATGTAGACTCATGTAGTCCTAGTTCGGAAAAATGAAACATTGCTCTTAGGTTGTAAAATTATATGTTCGAAAACTTTTCTTCTTAGGAATTTTGTCTGAAAATGGACTCGAAACGAGATATTCACGAAAAACTGAGCGCACGAATGAATTCTCCATTGCCTTTCTGCAGTCTCTTCAAGTGCTTGGGACACACGCCCTCTTCCCTTCCCCGCCCGCCCATCATGGGGCTCCGAGAGACTTGTCTCGCTCTGCCTGTGCTAAACCAAGCCTGACGCACGGTCTACGTGATTCAATGTCTTTGCCTTGCATTGAATACCCAATTCCTTCTTCTACTTTCAGTGAATCCTGCTTCATCCGTTTTCGGTGGTTAAGGGTCATGTAATCCCTGTGTAAAACAGACCCATTCTTGCTGGTCATCAGTCATTTTTTACCTCTTAAGTATCAAATTGATGATGTCATTTCCTGACTTCGGTCAGTGTCTGTAGAAGTGACTCAGGCACTCCTCGAAATTGCTCAGTTCTTTTATTATCGTGGAAATCAAGTGTATTTCAGGATATTAATCAAGTGGACCTAAACCAAGAGTGATTATAATGTCTTTATCACCTTTCTGTGCAGATAAATATGCCCGAATTCAGTGCTTGTGCTGTGTGTGGATCCACCCAATACTCTCTGGACAATGGCATGTACTTTTGTGATACATGCGGTACTGCACTTAATGTAAGTCACTCAGAAGAATGTTTACTTATCTGTTCATTAGGACTCAACGAACACTCTAGTAAAAGTCATTCTGTTTTTAAAAATGTGTTTCGTGAAGTTTTGCATGAATAACTTCTTCATTTACTGTCCAAGGAAACAGATATCTCACTCTTCAAAAACCCAAAATTGAGTTATAAATATCAGAGCATAGATAAGTGCTGGACACAAAATTCTAAAAAATCTTGGGGCTAAGTAATACTGTGGAAAATGCTAAGCAGCATGCAATATCATGCCTTTCGAAGTTTGCATTTAAAAATAGTAATCTTAGTAGCCCGCTTACCGAAGTTTCTCCATTTTGAGAAAATACTGTTTTGTAATTTAGTTATCTACTAAAATTTTGTGAAGGAGTTGAAACTTCTCGAGGGTCTGCTATTTTTTAGATTTCATCCAACATCATATTCCCTCTAGCAGCATTCTGGTTTCGCATTGTAGCTTACACAGTAGTCTTTCCTTTGCCCTTACATGTTGATTTTTTGGTTTGTTTAATTTTCAGTTTTCACCGCAATCGCTCTTGCTTTCCCCCTTTTTCCTTTCATTTTTCATGAATTTTTTCAGGATGTGTCACAACTAGTCGATGCAAATGATTACACAAACCAAGAGATTGAAGAGGAAGTCGAAGCAGTTGTCCCTGGTAGTGCTTCCATCGGTGTCAATAAAAGTAAGTCTTTGGTGAAAATCTTTGCTTTTAAATGTAGCAACTGATTTTCTAAGGTTTAAGCTTAGTCGTATTTGATGAATGGTAGCCCAGATTGCTCAGCGTTAGATCACTTAAATACACCCAAACAAACCCAACGATGCTGCTTATCAATAGATCAGCTCACCAGTCATGGATCACTCACTCAAAATTGTTTCAATTCATTTTCATTAGCCTTGAGATTAAAGAGTAAATATGGATTTTTTTCTCAAAATTGTTTGATGTGGAAGAAGCAGAAAAAGCTCTTATAAATTGTTTTCACTGATGAGAATTGAAACAGATGTGTTTTGCAGAATATGGACATCACAAGTTGAAAATGAGGCAGTGTTGCCGTAGTGCATGGAGAACTCAATAATTTTACATTGGTTTAGTGTAAAAAACAGCAAATATCTCGCACCAAACATGTTACTCGAAGCTGTTGGGTGGCAATGTTGTTTGCTTTTATCTATGTAATACGTGAATAAAAGTTTCATATCGTTATTAACAAATAAATTTATTTATAGACTCTTTTGATCTAGTTTTACCAAATGGACCCACTAATTCACTTTATGAGTTTTGCCCAATGTAACTAAATGGGTGGTACGTGATGATCATCGTACTCTTAGGTTTTCTGTATTACTTTACACAGTGGAACCAAGTAGCCCATAATTGGAGTAGCAACAATAATGCCTCTTTTTTGAGCCATCATGAGGGCAGTAAATTGAGCTTTTAATCAACTTTTTGTTTCAATTTTTAGGACAGGTCACTGCTCATCAAAAATATTTTTACGAATATACATCCTGGGAAATTTACAACTATGCACTGAAAGGATGGGTTGATGAACTCATCCAAATGGGCATTGATCCACAGTTAAAGGTTGTGGCTCTGCAAGTTTGGGCAAAAATTTTAAGTTTATCAAAAGTAGCATTTTTCTCTGAAGATAAGACTGAGAAACCACGGCTTGGAATACATACCAATAAACTGTAAGTTTTCATATATATCTAGTAAATTTAGTTGTTCAATATTTTCTTAGAGGTGAAAGAGATTGATTAGATCAAGTTCCTCGAAAAAAAAGCAACTTTTTTGGGTAATTTCTTGTTTCTAATGAAGAAACTAAACACAAGCATTCCATGTTCAACGGATGTCAGGCAGGCGCTAATAGAATTCCTTGCTTTTATTATTTCAATTTGATCGCTATTCTGTTTTATTTATTTTGTTTTATTTATTTTGTCACTTATGAGAATCTTGCAACAAATAGCTGATTTGATGACCAGATCATGAGAGGTCTTGCTGACCTATGATTTGGTCTGTTGGCTGAAGCATCACACCACCTTTGTTCGTAGAATGAGTTAAAATGGTTTTGAAATACTTCACAGAACTTTTGGAATTTAAGGATCGGAATCAGCAAGCCCGCACTGTATCTAATTTTGCTGCTGTGTAGTTGATTTATTTCAGAAATCAGAATGCTATTGGTTGCCTTTCATATTAACATTTAAATAGAACTCAAATCAGCATTATTTCTGAGAGTCAATGAGGTTTCTCTCCGCTTAACCTATACCCGAAATTGCACCCAGAGAAACTTCTCCAAGTTTCCTCTTTTGTTTTCTATGTTTTAGTGATGCTCATATTTTGTACGGAGTGAAGAATATAAAGAGAGACCTTTTTGGGATAACAAATAAATCCCAACTCCTCAGAGCTGGTGGAAAATTGAAAGAAGGAAAAGAGCGCAACAAACGTAGCAAAAATAGAACTCAAGTTTTAAGGAAAGATTTGGTGAGTAATCTTTCTATTTTTCTTTTTCCTCTCTTAGTCGAAACTTCATGTGTTATTGCAACTCTGTGTAGAAAGACCTTAGGAATCTTTTTGGGCAGCAATTTTAATGTTCCATGCTAACTTTAAGAAATGGTCGCCATAAAACCCAAAATCCAAAATGATGTTGTTTCTAAAAATTCTGTAAATTCAGAATCAAAACTATGGGTTTTTGCATAACTTCATGGTGTTTCTACACTAAGTCCTGCAGTGCTTTCCTTGGTCTGTAGAGAATATTTCCCCTCGGAAATTTGAACTCTACCAATTTGGAATGATATTTTGCAATGAGCTATGTTTACTTTCACGTTTCTTCTGATAAGGAAGAAAAGTTACGGAGACAAAGAATCAAAGAGGACACAGGAGAAGGGAGAGAAAAATTTGCTTGACACCCTATTTCCAATTCTTAGCATGTAATTTAAGTCACAGTAGTTTGTGTTGATAAAGTCAGAGTTTTTATACTATTTTGTCTTTAATTTCAGATGAAACTCCACCAAAAAGAGCAAGAAAGTGCTGCTTTAGAAGCGAGTCAAATGAGTCAAACCTTGGATAATTTGATGGCTGATGATTTAGAAAAACGGAAGAACACGTAGGTGAATTTCTATTGAAGTACAAATGTCAACAGAATTGAATGTAAAGTTTCAAACTCATTCAGCTGAATTTTGTTGCCATGACATATCTGAGTATGGTTGTGTGTTTGTCCAGACTTGTAAGGAAACTGATGTGTTCCCCTGTTCCCCTGAAATTTGTTTTGAAAGATTTGAAAGAACATAACTGTTGTGCATTTCAAGTAATCTTCATTATACTTTTTAAGAGCTGTACACTTCTTGAGAGAAGGAATTGAACTTAAAACGGTTGTATTTCAGGAACTGAATATCTCTCAAAAATGATTTTGTGCTCATTGAAATGAAACTTATATCAGGGAGTCATTACGGGATCAAGTTGTCAGCGAACAGACAGATGTACCCTAGCGCAGTGGTACCTTGTGAGTTTATTTTTATTAAATCTTGGGCTGATTCTCTCCTGTCTCTTGTGCTGTGTTAATTATGTTTTTTAAAGCTCTTCTCCCGTCTTACTGATCCTAGGAGCGGGAGCTTATTTTGAGTAAAAGAGATTTTTTTTTTTAAAAGAAAATAAGACAATGAATCAACCTTTAAAAAAGAAAAAAAATTGAAGGAAAATTTTCAGCTTTCAAAGTCTGTAGAAAAATTCTTCAATTATAAAAATACTTTCACTCTTTTGGTCTCAGAAGCTACAAAAAACTGAGGGCTTTCCTTCATCTTAATTGTAATCGGAATCACAGTTGATTTCCTTAGTCGCAATTGAATTAAAAAATTCTCAATTCCACAGCTCTAAACAAAACTAGTAGTGACCGGTAAAAATCAGTTCCAACCAATGCCTTGTGGTCGAAAGCCAAAATAAGAGGAAAAAGCATAAAAAAAAAATGTTTTTTTCTCATATTTTGGTTTTTGACCGGTCACCACAAGTTTTGTTTGGCCATAATGCATATCAACTGTGAAACCCCCGAACCTTGTATCTCGTTTGCCGTGTTTTGGAATCTCTGCTCCCTTTTTATTTTTTTAAAGGAGAACAAATCAACATTACACCTTGAAGTTTTCACAGAATTTTCTTCGCACAAAGAAGAAAAATGAAGGAGGTTTTATATGTAGAATTGACGTTAAGGTGCTCTCCAATAAAAAAGTAAACTATGACAGGAAGTCTGCAAGTCGCAAACCGAGATACGTGGTTTGCGAGTTTCACCGTCGATATTTTTCTATAATATTGTGTTTTGACCAAAGAAAAATTCGAAAATCTGATTTTGTCCGGTCAAAATCATTAGTGTGTAGACAAAACTAGTTTTGACCACATTACAGGTTTTGACTTCAACTTAACTATTTAGTGAAACAGCATTCACTAATTTTCAGTAGTTTCTCAGTAAATTTTACTCTGCGTTCAATTCTATGCTGTCTAATCAAATCTTTATGTTTCATCTTTTTCTCTGCTTTCTTTTTTTCAGGGTCCTCTTAAATCCCAAAGCAAAAAAGGCACTCGATGAAGCAATTAAAAATGGAACGCCAGTTGATACCAAAATCAAAGATGAAATTTTTCCATTTAACCTAACAACTTTAATAGCAGTTTTACGATGTGCTTTAGTCATCATGGACACTGAAGTACTTACCTCAGATTTATTTCGGTACTCGAGCTTTCTCTTTGTTTTTCCACTCTAGTATTATTTCCATTGCATTCGGAAGATACAGCTATTCTCTAAATTTTCATTATAAATTTTCAAGCACATCTAATCAACGGATGGATTGAAAATCACAATTTTGTAGTTCAATTTTCAGCGCGAAAGTGCTGAAAAAGAGGTCTGAGAATGCAACATGTAAGGTTGCCGATAAGCTTTCAGTTAAGAAACTAAAAGTACAGCAAACAAGGCGCGCAATCCGCCGGGTGGAATGCCCTGCGACCGGGGCAATGCATCACAATGTGTTTTTTCCGTTTTTTTCCAATCCGGGCCTCCATCTGAAAATCTTTTTTTTTTTGCAGGCTAGCCGACAATAAATTTTTATCATTATTCCACATTGCTAATTTGGTGCCTGAGCACATTTTAGCCAAGTGTGACCCGATGTTGTACAGTCCTTCAACTCATTTAACCATGCCCAGACCTGATAGCGTCGATACAGAGGTGGCAGCCCTACTAAGGTATATGAATGTCACTTACCGTCCAAATCTGGGGCAGCTATGTGCTAGGTATTGTCAGGAGCTCCAGTTACCTGGTCAGTAAAGTTTGTTTAATAACCTTGTGTTCAAGAGATATCAAAGGATAGTTTGTGCAGACATGATCAAAATTTGTTAATTTATAGTGGAACTTCCAAGCACTAAAATATTTAATCATCTTTTTGAAGTCTTTGTTCATCACTACGTAACATTTTATATGGTTTGTGTGATCAATCAGAAACCAAACTTTGCAAGCCAATAAATGATCCGATGGACGTTTTTGCGGGCTTATCTGATTGCTGATAACCTGCTGAACACACGAGTTCTCACAGAATTCGATCATTTTCAGTAATTTGCTGTTGACATTCAAGTAATGATTCTCTTGCAAGCAAGATACACAGTCAAGTGTATCTGTCTATATAATAACATGGAAATGACAATGGGCACATCAAGGAAGTCTAAAATTCACACATTAGTTTGCAATTAGCAGAGTCTCTAACGCGCCTTTTTAAATTTTCTGGTGTCCACAGGCAGTTTCTCTTAGTTTCCGACGACCAGGTTCGCAAGAAACGCACAAAAACCAAACCTAACTAAACACAAGATCTTGCAGATGATTCAATTGTTTTCAAGTTTTTGCTTTCCCTTTGTGTCTGTTTTTTTGCAAAAACTAAAGCCTTAAATCAATTGAAATTATACGTAAGGAATGTCTGTAACAGTTCCTATTATTGTCTGATTTGGAACAAGTCTTCTATTCTAATGTTTGAAACTTTTAAGTTTTGATTCCCGACAGGAGTGTGTGAACTCTTTGTCACCTTCTTACACGAGTACTTAACTCTATCATCAGTATCAACAAGTAATTTACGATTGTGTTGACCTTTTTCAGTGATGGTGGTTGAGTGGACTCAGTTGATCATAAAACTTTATCCTGTCAGTGAAATTGTGCCTCTGAAGAGAAATACACTTCATTACAAGTATAGGTATGACGTAATTGTAATGGCTTGTATCATTTTCGTCATGAAGCTATTCTTTTCTCTGGACGACGTCACCGAGTATGAACAATCTAAAGTGGCAGCCGCAATCAACAAGTTCGTTTTATTTCATTCTAATTAGTTTGCTACATTATCTCATTTTATTTGCATAAAATAATGGTTCATAACCATAACCTGTAACCATTACCAACTATCAGTATTGCCTCTTGCCCTCCCTGTGTGTTGTTCAGTTACCTGCACCCCCCCCCCCCCCCCTCCAATTAAGAGTTCCTATCGAGGCCTCGGGAATGAGAAGAGGTCTTTGAATAAGAGCTGTCCTAATTTTCCTAGAAGTTTTCTGATACTTGCGCACCAATAACTTAAATGTTTCATAACTTCTGAACGGATCGTGGCCCAAATATTGAAGAATATCTCCTTGCAAGAATGAAATATGAGGGAAAATTTTCAAATAGCGCCATTGCGGTTGAGGATTTGGTGGCTTCACCATCAATATGCAAGTTTTTTCCCTCTCAAGTTTCTGATCTGAAGTTTCTGAATGTAGGTCTTTTTACGTAATCTATGAAGAATTTTGAACTTGCATATGTACTAGAGTTTATTTCCAACAGCAGTATTTGAACAATTCTTTGGGTCACAATGACACTTTGAAGGAATAAAATTCATTTCTTTGCATTCACGAATACCTACTATGTCGAAAAAAAGATGAAGGAAGAAAACGAGTTTTTTATTATTGTAGAATCTAGTAGATGAGAATGGACCACTAGACAAGGTACGAATCTAAGCATTCTGATATTTGTAATTGCTTTACCATTTCACTTGGAGTGCGCTTTGTGCAACAAGAGTTGCAGAAATCAACTTCCTAACAAGATTTTAACATTTTTATTTAGCAAATGGTCACGAAAAAGTCAAATTTCTTGCGCTTTCAAAGTACCCTGAATCAAATTGAGCACTGGAAGCTTCTTAATAGGCAGTGTTGCTTCCCCACTCTGTGTTGTCCAAAATGTGAACATTGTACAATAGCTGAGTAGAAGCGCCGATATTGAGGTTGTCATATTTTCATCCTGCTGAGATTGCCATAGTAACATATAGTATGCAATCCAACTAAAGTGAATCATGTTTTTATTTTTTTATTTTTTTTTTTTCCATTCATTGATTTTTATGAGCAGAAAGTTTGAATTGATGCGTAAAAAAGCGTTAATATCTGTGTTGGGAGTTACTTTCATTAATTTTCGAAGTACAAATCAAGCTCTTCGTCAAATTTTCATGGTGAAACATACATCAAAATGCTTTAATTCACACCTTGTTCATTAGTCTATTAAAGCTGTGTTTTCAGTGCTAAGATTTCCAAGATGTTTTCTTGTTTCAAATGTGATCAAACTTTATCAGAGGACTTAAATCTATTTTTGTGTATTGCAGGAAAATTAGGAAACACAAGCTTGCCGAGCCAATTCTGTTTGAATGGAATGAATGGAGGAAGTATATAACTTGTCGGAAAACTCTTATTGCATTGCACCATTATCCAACTTTCTTAAGATTGCATCAGGATAAGATGTTCGATGCTAATCTTTTATTAAGGTACTGGCAGAAACAAGTTCTACCTCCTGGTGTTCGGAGTAAGTAAATTTCTATACAGAGATTTGTTTGTCTTTGTTAAACTGAATTTATACTTTAAAACCTCCAGACATTTCTGGATTATGTGATTATGATCGCTTGCTTGGTTGCCAGTGTGAAAAATTGGAAAGGCTATGAAAATTGGGATAGCCATTTCGCAAAAGCATTAAAATTGAAAGTCTCCGTAAAATCTCAGTAGAATTTGCATTCTGGTATACAAAGTTGCTGCTGTTTGCAGTAAAAGAACAAAAAATGGTCATAGTTTTAAAAATTTTTGGGAAAAAGGGGTTTTTAACGTGAGAAGGCTGGGAACTTCCTGCACTCCTGTAGAACCTCATTTACTTCGGACTTAGTGTTAGTTTGAAATAAAATTATACGAAATAATCAGAACTTTTGAGAATCTCACAAACCACTTATTTTTTCTCCGGAATGTAAGTGCATTTTCACACATAATGTAATTAAGGGAAACCCTAAATTCCCATCCCCAAGGGACAAAAACTAGCAGTTAACTTTGCTCTCTCACTTTAGGTTCTCAGTGCCAACGAAAATCTGTGTGATGTTCAGAGGTTTATCAGTATATGTAGTTTAAAAATCCCTATTTTGCACTTGCCACTATATGTATTTTGTAATGACTAGAAATCATTGTTTAATGAAGTCAATAAGCACTGATCGTTTGTGGAAATTAATGAAAAACCATGAACAAGGCCAGACTCATGAAATGAATAGAAATTCGAAAAATTTGAGTTTACTCTTTTGCATTTTAAATTTATTTACAAGTTTCAGCTGTCAGCAAATGCCGTTAGATGTTGCTCCGAAATACGCTCCAATAATTTAATTTTAAATGCAAGAGAGTACGCTAAAACTTGCAATTTTTTAAACTTTTTGCCCTAAATTATGTAGGTTTTTGCAGAGTTATTAATGAGTCTCCGTTTTGATCTAGGATCTGCTATGGTGGACTTCTACTCCTCCCTGTTGAAAGATCTGGATCCTAGTCTGGAACTGAATACTGATAAGAAGCTAGTTTTACCTGATCTCAACTTGCAGCCCTCTTTGACTCCTTTTTCCAGTCTTTCAGAAGAGTTGCTATCCCACCACTCAAATACTATCTCACCAGCTGTTTTGACTCTACTGAAGCAAAATTTTCCCGAAACTTCGGTCAAATTTCTAGCAGAAGAGACTTAGTAAGTTTATTTTTTTTCCCAACCTATCCAGAAAATTTCCAGCAGATGTGATAATGCAGGATTTTTAGTAAAATAGAATGATGGTGATTCTCTCAGAAATCTTTGAAAGTTGTACGTTTAGGCTAGTTGTTGCTCTATCATTGAATAGATGCTTCTAATTGAGCTGAGCCTTGGTCCATACAAAAGGAGCCTAAGCCCTAAATCACAAAATTTACTTTTGTTCAGCTATGGAACTACGGACTACTCAGCTCCTACTACGGAACAACAAACAATACAAAGCATCTACTGTTGCTGTATTCTCATTTATCTTCGTCAAAAAGGACAAAGTGAACTTCAATTTTATCTCTCAGATGACTTAATTGACTCGCTTTTTTTAAACAATGTAAATCATCTGCTGTTTCCATATTCGTATGTAATTTTTTCAAAAAGTAAGCAAGTATTCTTCAGTTTTTTTTTTTTTTTTTTTTTTGAAAATGGCGCAAGTGACATTCCTTTTTTAAACAACTTAAGTCATGCAGTCTTTTCATTTATGTGTTTTTCTTGTTAAGAGGGACCTAAATGATCTTGAGTTCTTTTTCCGTTACAGCCAAAGTTGAACACTTTTTTTAACGACATTATTTATTCTGTATTTCCATATTTTTCTTTATTTTCCTCCAAAAGACGTAAGGCAAGATGCACAGTGTATATTCAGAACAGGCAAACTTCATTCATGATGAACAATGTGTATGACTTTTATTTTTTCAATTTATATCATTAATATAAGCGGGGAAGGATTCCACCATTTTTTATTTCACTCGAGCAGTTACCAGATTGTGCAATAAATGTGAATATTTTGCATGGGTTTGAACTGGGAAAAGTGCTTAAAAAGCAACTTATCTGGCAACAGAAGAGTCTGAGAGGGACAAGAGGCTGCCTTCCTGGGAAAACCCATGATTTAGCAGGAAATGTCATTAAAACAAATTGGTTCCGTTTGAAGCATCAAATGTATACCAAGGAATGCTATCATAGCTTTTAGCATTGAAAGTATAAATATTCTTAAAAGGAAATGCATAGGTACGCTTTTTTTATGAAGAAAAAAAAAAAAGTTTTGTCAAATTCTGAATATTACCAATCAAATTGCCGTCAAAATTCTAGAATAGAAGACGTAAAATGGTCTAATGAAGATAATGTTGTGGATAACACTAAACAACCGAACAAATAAAGTCTTGAAGTTTTTATTTGAGCCCACTTGGGGTCCTCCCTCCAAAAGCTGTTTCGTTTTGAGAAGTGGCCATTGTTTCTATTCTCTTCTTTTTTTTAGTTTGCAGAAATTGGCAGAGAAATTGGGTATCCAGGTCTCAGTAAGTGATGAAATGAATAAACTCTTGTCCATCAAGAAAATCGAGGAAGTTCAAAGAATGGACCGTTTCCCGACTCAAGGGGTGTATGGTCTTCCAGCGGTATCATGCAAATTTGCCCCTTTTTTTGTTTCTGGTAAGTCCAAAAAGAAATTAGCTACGCCTGCACTGTCTCAGACCTCGAATTTACCTCCAGAAGCAATGCAATTGTTGAAAAACCGATTGGATTCATGCCAAGCCCGAAAGGAGGCAGCAGTCACCTCAACTGCCAGGAAACGGAGGAAAAATGGAGAGATTAATGCTGCCGGTGATTGTTCAAAATCAAGCAAATCTTTTGAATTAAACAAGACAATGACAAACTATTGGATTTTGCACATCAACCCTTGGAAAACAACCAGCTCAGAGGTGGCTGAGTTTGATGTACACCTCACCAAACTATTTCCAAATTCATTTGTGTGGTTGCTGAGAGAATGTTGTTTTTTACTTGACTGTAAGATCACTGATTTGTACCGAGAAATCTGTGATGTTGAAGATTTGCTGCTAGGAAAAGATTTACCCTGAGATAATGTCAGTCAGTCTTGATAGCATAGCTACTTGGACATAACTCTCCTATTGTTATCGATAGCAAAATTAAAAAATTAATTTGAGCATTGCAAACTTCTAGTCATGTTTTATCCCGATGAAAGAAAACAATCTCCTCAGTCGTTGAAATTTTGTTATACTTTTTTTTGATAATCTAAAAATACCTATTCTTGAAAAATAGCATGCGGAAATGCCAGTCCCCTTTTTTGAAAATGGAGTAATATGTTTGCGAACACTGGGAAGATAAGTGGCAAAGTAAAACTGAGACAAGCATGTGTTGAAAAAAAGAATGAAGCAGCTAATCAAACTCTTACATCTAAAAGATTTACATTCTCAGCAGGAGTACAGAGAGTTCTTATTTTCAGTACTCCCATTTCTCAAACTGACTTTACAATATCCAAAACCCCAAAATTTTTCGAAAACCACTTTTTCCCTTAGATTTCAAAGCTGACTCCCTCATTATGCCACAAATTGTTAATAAACCATCTAAACCATCTGTATTTCCTTAACCAAGGAGAGTCAAATTTTGTAGAAACTTTTTCTTACCGATTTTTCTAAAATTGTTGAGACTTTTTACACATTATGTCAGTTTAGGTTCGAACTGTCTTTTTTTGGAAAAATTGGTAAGGAAAAAGCTCTACAAAATTTGATAAAGTACGGCCGATAAAGTTAACAAAAGAAGTGAAGAAGAGTCAAGTTTCCGAAAACTTGTTTGCTGCTGATGCTTTGACAGCCCCTTGTTTCAAAGAACTTCAAAGTATTCCGATAAAAATGTTTTTTTTCATGCTTTGGAACTTTAACTGTCATAATTTTTTATTCTCCTGCAGTTGTAAAAGTATAATTCTTGTCAGCAAATAATATAATTATTGTCTTGCATTATTTTATGTCAAGTGTGCTGTTATTAGGTGTTCTTGCAGTGAGCATCAACAGGGCCGGATTTAGCTTTTTGCCGCCCCTGGGCAAGCTACATTTTGCCGCCCCTGGGTCTGCAATATTTCGCCACTATATTGTCAACAGTATCCCCTCCTCCCCCTCCCCCTCTCCGCACTCCCAACTTCCCACGCCATCTCATCTTGCCCCCCCCTCGTGCGCCGCCTGGGCGCGTGCGCGTAGCTGCTTCAAAATGCGCCGCGAATATATAAAATGGAATGGATGGATGAGACAAAAATAAAATGTGGAGACAAAGTTGAAGCTAGTGTAGCTCAATGTATTAGTTGCAATGTATTTTCGGAAGATCAGGTTAAAAAGTTTTTCTCCGGGTTTTCAGTTTAGCAAAGCTGTCAACCAGAGCATCAACGTCTAAATTGATTATCAAGTCTGCCTCGATGTTTAAAATTGCCGTGTTGTTTAGTATCACTCCAACGAAAGATCATCCTAGCGCTCAAGGCCGGACCTAAGGGGCGGCAGCTTTGCCGCTCCCGTCAAGCGTCAACTCCCTTCCTTCATACATTTTGCCGCTCATCTTTTCACTTCGCTCCGTCTCTGTCTCCATTTTTTCCTTTTTTCTCGCTTTAACTTTCAATTAATCCAGTGCCAAAATTTGCCGCCCCTCAAAATTTGCCGCTATGGGCAAGTGCCCCAGTGCCCTATAGGTAAATCCGGCCCTGAGCATCAAGCTAGTCTAAATGAAAACTCCATGTATCTTGTTCTTAGTACACAAATTGAGGTTTTGATTTTTCAGTTTTGCTACTACAGACTCTGTGATAAGTGAAAGTAAATGATTTTACAATGATTTTTTTCTTCCTTTTTTTTTGGCGATGATTGCTTATGGTAAAGCTATAGGAGGATCAATCTCCATGTTAATTTTAATTTAGTTTTTATGAATCATCAACGAACTTGACCCCACTCAAAAGAAATTTTCTTTAATTTTATTGTTATGATGTATTGTATTTTTGTTAATTTTATATTTTTTTAAACAACCATGTTCCTCATAATCAAGTGTGAAATGAGTTTTTCAAAATACAACTAAATTTTACACTTTATCTGACATGTAATTACTTGTTCTCATATTACTTACCCTGTCACCTAGCCTTGGAGGAAAATGAGATAAGTTTTGAAAAGGAAAAGCAATGGAAAATTCTACAATTTTACAACTGGAGTTTGCGTTAGAACTACTGCATTAGAAAAGATTTTCATGTCTATCGATTTTCAAGATTGCCGGCAGCCTGGAAAACCTGGAAAGTCAAAGAATCGAGGGTGACCTGTGGACCGATTATTGAATCTATGTAGATACGATATGACAAGACATAGCCCTATCTTAACGAAGTAATATATGTATTGCATTTCGATGTCTTATTGTGCTGCTTTACACTTTTCATAATTGGCTTGCTGAGAAAATTAGGGAATTCATAGGAAAATTTAACAGAAAGCCAGTGAAATTAAAAGAAAAAAATCTGAGTTGAAGTTTTGATTGAAGGCCAGGAAAAGTCGTAGAATTCGAAAATTTTTGAGTCAAGGAAAAGCAAAAGAAGTCAGGGGGCATTGAAAAATGCCCAAGTTATGGAAGCCCTTGTTTTCCTCAGAAAACTCAATTGAATTTTTTCTCATTATCTTAAGGAAGAATCCTTGGAGAAAGGTATAGGAAAATAATGAGTCTTCTAGGAAACTATGAAAGACACATGAACCTCTTTATAAAAGTAAAATTTTCAGAACAACAAAAAAGTTGACAAATTTGTACTCATATTCCAATTTAGATTTACAAAATATTCCGTTTGAAACAAAGCTTCAATTTATTATTTTAGTTTCATGCCATCTACTCCACCCTCATTAATAATACTTCAGTGGAGGAAGGTAAATTTTTTGACTGTGATTAACAAACTTTTATGGCTCCATTTCCACAGCCCCCCCACATTCGAATCTTAAACCAAAAATTATATCATAATTTTGTGCTAATTTTGTGCTATTTTGTGCCGCAAATTAAAAATTTTGTGCTGCAAAATTAAGGAGGGAAACGCTCCTCAAAATTGGGGGGGCTGTAGAAACGGTAGCCCCCCCACTTTCGAATTTTCGAAAAAAAAGAATGCCATAATTTTGTGCTAATTTTGTGCTATTTTGTGCCGCAAGAAAAAAATTTTGTGCCGCAAAATTAAGGGGGGTAGCAGCATTCCAAATTGGGGGGGCTGTAGAAATGTTTGCCCCCTGTTTCGATTTCTCGGAAAAGGAGTATGCCATAATTTTGTACTAATTTTGTGCTATTTTGTGCCGTAGCAAGACTTTCAATTTTTTCAAATTTAAGGGGGAAAAATTGGTATTTCAAAATTGGGGGGGCTGTGGAAATGTTTGCCCCCCTCTTCGATTTCTTGAAAGTGGAGTATGCCATGCTTCTGCTTTAATTTTGTGCTATTTTGTGCCGTAGAGATATTATTCATTTTTGTAAATTTAGGGGGGTAAACGGGCACATCAAATTTTGGGGGGGCTGTGGAAATGTTTGCTCCCCTTTTTGATTTCTTGAAAAAAAAGTATGCCGTAATACTCTCATAATTTTGTGCTATTTTGTGCCGCAAAAAGAAAATTTTGTGCTCCAAAATTAGGGGTCCTAAATACCACCCCAAATTTAAGGGGGAGGTCGCAGGTGCGGCAGCCCCCCACTTTCGAATTTCGAGAAAAAAAGCACGTCATAATTTTGTGCTAATTTTGTGCTATTTTGTGCCGCAAAAAGAAAATTTTGTGCTCCAAAATTAAGGGGGTTAAATACCATTTCAAATTGGGGGGGCTGTAGAAACGATAGCCCCCCACTTTCGAATTTCGAGAAAAAAAGTACGTCATAATTTTGTGCTAATTTTGTGCTATTTTGTGCCGCAAAAAGAAAATTTTGTGCTCCAAAATTAGGGGGATTAAATACCACTTGAAATGGGAGGGGCGGGGACTGTAAGACAAGTTAGCGCTCCGGCGGAACCCGAATCTTCCGCTCCGGAGTCGCAGGCTCGCAGGTAGCCGGAACCTTTGGCAGCGCAGCGTGGTCACATCTCTCTCCGCTTTGACTTCTGCTCATGGAAACGGACGGAAAGGGCCAAGCACCGTGGCAACTCAAGAAAGATCCGGGCGGGAGATCCGGCGCGGCGCTCTTTGCACGGGATATTTAACCAGAGAGATTTATCCTATAATCATTAAGGATCCTTTTTGGAGGGTTATATACAGTTGGGTGTCAGCGAGTTCCAAATCGAATGTTGCTCTACTGTTTTTATTTTGCACGCTACCGATTATTATTTACTGAATCGAACAGTTTTGAGAAATAAATGATTGGCTTTCATTTCAGAAGCAACAACAATTTTGACACGTATCCAGCGAAACATATCATGAAAGGACCATTTTTAAGGAATGTTTCAGAAAATGTGTTATCGTTGATTTCAAGACCTCCGAAATCTAGTTTACATTACCTCACTGGAATGCGCCCTGTGCTCTTTTCCAACTTTTAATAACAAAATTCAATTTTTCCACCATTTTTCGTTAGGTGCCGATGTTTGGTTTCAAATAAAGTGCCCACACAAATACTCTCTAAATCTTGGTGTGGTATTCATGATTCTGAGGAAAACTACTGCACATTGGGCCTCTAGACAAGGTATGAATGACTAAATCTTTAACGTCGATCAATGGTAAACCCCCCTTCTTACGAGAAAATATGTATATATTCCAGGAAATGCTGATGAGATGAAGAAATAGGGATAGTATTATCGGACACAGCGGAAAAAACTCATGAATAACAACCATCGTATGTTAAGCTTTGTTTTCGGACGCAGACCTATGCAATTATTTGAGATTTTTATACCGTCATTTACCCTCCATAAAAGCACTTTCCCGTGTTTCACCGCTAAAACGAGAGGTGAATTTATTGTTTTTGAAGTGTCTGATGGGACTCTTCCCTCTCAATTTTTTCGGCTTATTCCGAATACGGTTTCAGATTTTTTTTCTAGAAATTACCGATTTTCCGGAAAATTGCATTTTCTAAAAAAAAAAAGTGTTCTTCAATGTAAAATCCCATATAAAAAAGACGCCTCAGTCGGCATGGGTTAATATTATTCAATTTGTCTTAAACTTGGCAGAGTCTTTTTGTTCAAATGAATTGATTTCAGGGAGTTAGACCAAAAAAATTCTCAAAAGAAATTTTTTCATGTGTGATTGGGCTACTATAGCCATCGATATGATAAATCCGGTCCCTTGAGTCACGTCACTCCGCTTGATTGCGATCAATGTATTCTGTTCTATTTCGGAGCGACCCTAGCAACCTGAAAATTTTTGCATCGTCTTGCAACACCCTATATACCCCTGCTGGTCGATCACGGAACTAGAAATGCTATTGCTTTTGTTCTTCATGATGGGCCATTTTTAATTACTGGCCGCTATGCAGTCCAACCCCCAAAGGGCCCGCTTCGCAGGCCTTTGTTGCTCAATTTAAGTATACCGGGGGCGCGCTACGACGTTTGGAAAATCGAATGAGTAAATACCATAATCTCGTAATTGGCAACACAGCAATCCTCTAGACCGCTACTCGGCACGCTCGACATCGCTGCCCCATTGTCTCGCGCTTACCTGAATCTGACCCTCGAAATTTCAACCGAGGATTAGACAGCTCGCGAGTGCAATTTTTTTATTTTTTCAAAAAAAGTTTTTTTAGTCTATATTTTCAAATTCGCGGTAAAATTTCGAGCAAATCGGTGGTCAAACCAAAGAAAATACGTGATTCTGCGGCATAGCAAGATCAATAGGATCGCATTTAGCAAACAGGAACCTGCGCAATCACAGTGTTGTTAAAATATTGCTTTTTCATAATTATCTAAAAAAAATCTCCCAAAGTAGGAAATAGTTCTTGCTTCCCACTAAATAATTTTTGTTAATTTTGAAGGGAAGTTATTCTGTAAATTTTCATACAGTACATATATTTCGTATTTTTAAAAGAAAAAAAAGTAGTCGCACGATTTTGAAAACACTGTAATCACGCTGGTTTCTTTTTGCTAAATGCGGTCCAATATTTCTTCTGCTGAATTTGCAACTTGCGGACCGACATCTCCGTTGTATATATACAAGTCATAAAAAAATGTAGTTCATTGTAATCTGCTTTTTCCGCAGAATGTAAGTTTACTAAGAGAGTTAAAGTCGAAGCAAATCTTAAAAATGTCATCAAATTTCTTTGGAGCTCCAATAGGCCACAGGGAAGGCCAACGGATTGAGATCCATTGATGCCGAGCGGTCTATTGTTATGTTTAAAGGAGACCGGCATCGGCCGAGATGTGGTTGCGCTGGTGTCAACGTGTGCTGGAAAAACCTCAGGTCCAGACATCATCGTATCGCGCCCTCAGTATAGAGCGGGATTATCCAGGGATTCTCTTCCATTAGTAGCCGCGAAAACCATGAGAATCACCCCGGTTGATCATCCAAACGAACTAAGACTAAAAAACCAAAATTCAATATCTCTAATTTGGTCGGTTTTCCGCCAAATTTGAAATTCCCGTCATTTTTCATGGTAGGGAACTTCAAATTTTGCTTATTGCCCCTACCCTTGCCCAGCTCACCAGTCAACCCAAATATTAGAACCCTGGGTCATATTGCCAAACTCCGCATGGAGCGGGCTCATCTAGGTACTATCGCCTGTCGGTAGCCGGAAAGTAATGGAAATCAACCAAGTGAAACGCTCAAACGAACTGTGACAAAAAATTAAAATTTACATTGGTTATATGGGGGAATTCGCGACTACCTATTCCTTCATTTTATTGGTCTGTTCAATGCTTTCATAGGGCGGCAAAATTCAAACAAGCCAATCAGATTAAAATATTCCAAACTGATACATCAAACGATGTCATATTTCTACGTTGAAAATGGCAATTTGTGTAAATTCTAGGGCTTTTTGGGGGATATTTGAGCAAATCTGGCGATTTAGGGATTTTTAGCGAAATCTAGGGATTTTTTTCTTCCCGACTAGGGATTTTTTCGGGTCAATCATATAATATCTTACTCTTGATCAATTATATATCTTATAGATTCACGCGATGCCGATGCGCACGAAATATAAGTTTCGAAAACATCAAAAGCGCAATCGTATTCTGCGATAGTGAGAAGGATGCGCATTTGTGCAGGAAAGTGTTGCAAACAATTATTTAGGAAAGGGGAAATGATTTATCAAGGAACGAGGGTTTGTGACACGTAAAAGGCGAAAATGAAACATAAACTCCCCTTCCATAAAAAAACCCCAAAAAATTCCCCGAAATTTGTCGCCCGATGGCATAACACCATGCTCCCCCCCCCTCCCCCCATAAATCAGGCTGTGTAAGCGGGCTCATTTAAACAAAATTACCTGTTGATATCCGCAAAAATCATGAAAATCAGCCCAGTAGAAAGCTAGAGCTAAGCGTTCCCACAAAAGAAAATTTCGGACACTTCAGCGCTTTTTAGAATAATTAAAGCGTTATTAAAAAATATACATGTACATTGTGTTGGTACTTTATTTGAAACCAAACATCGGCACCTAACGAAAAATGGTGGAAAAATTGAATTTTGTTATTAAAAGTTGGAAAAGAGCACAGGGCGCATTCTTCAGGGCGGTAATGTAAACTAGATTTCGGAGGTCTTGAAATCAACGATAACACATTTTCTGAAACATTCCTTAAAAATGGTCCTTTCATGATATGTTTCGCTGGATACGTGTCAAAATTGTTGTTGCTTCTGAAATGAAAGCCAATCATTTATTTCTCAAAACTGTTCGATTCAGTAAATAATAATCGGTAGCGTGCAAAATAAAAACAGTAGAGCAACATTCGATTTGGAACTCGCTGACACCCAACTGTATATAACCCTCCAAAAAGGATCCTTAATGATTATAGGATAAATCTCTCTGGTTAAATATCCCGTGCAAAGAGCGCCGCGCCGGATCTCCCGCCCGGATCTTTCTTGAGTTGCCACGGTGCTTGGCCCTTTCCGTCCGTTTCCATGAGCAGAAGTCAAAGCGGAGAGAGATGTGACCACGCTGCGCTGCCAAAGGTTCCGGCTACCTGCGAGCCTGCGACTCCGGAGCGGAAGATTCGGGTTCCGCCGGAGCGCTAACTTGTCTTACAGTCCCCGCCCCTCCCATTTCAAGTGGTATTTAATCCCCCTAAATTTGGAGCACAAAATTTTCTTTTTGCGGCACAAAATAGCACAAAATTAGCACAAAATTATGACGTACTTTTTTTCTCGAAATTCGAAAGTGGGGGGCTATCGTTTCTACAGCCCCCCCAATTTGAAATGGTATTTAACCCCCTTAATTTTGGAGCACAAAATTTTCTTTTTGCGGCACAAAATAGCACAAAATTAGCACAAAATTATGACGTGCTTTTTTTCTCGAAATTCGAAAGTGGGGGGCTGCCGCACCTGCGACCTCCCCCTTAAATTTGGGGTGGTATTTAGGACCCCTAATTTTGGAGCACAAAATTTTCTTTTTGCGGCACAAAATAGCACAAAATTATGAGAGTATTACGGCATACTTTTTTTTCAAGAAATCAAAAAGGGGAGCAAACATTTCCACAGCCCCCCCAAAATTTGATGTGCCCGTTTACCCCCCTAAATTTACAAAAATGAATAATATCTCTACGGCACAAAATAGCACAAAATTAAAGCAGAAGCATGGCATACTCCACTTTCAAGAAATCGAAGAGGGGGGCAAACATTTCCACAGCCCCCCCAATTTTGAAATACCAATTTTTCCCCCTTAAATTTGAAAAAATTGAAAGTCTTGCTACGGCACAAAATAGCACAAAATTAGTACAAAATTATGGCATACTCCTTTTCCGAGAAATCGAAACAGGGGGCAAACATTTCTACAGCCCCCCCAATTTGGAATGCTGCTACCCCCCTTAATTTTGCGGCACAAAATTTTTTTCTTGCGGCACAAAATAGCACAAAATTAGCACAAAATTATGGCATTCTTTTTTTTCGAAAATTCGAAAGTGGGGGGGCTACCGTTTCTACAGCCCCCCCAATTTTGAGGAGCGTTTCCCTCCTTAATTTTGCAGCACAAAATTTTTAATTTGCGGCACAAAATAGCACAAAATTAGCACAAAATTATGATATAATTTTTGGTTTAAGATTCGAATGTGGGGGGGCTGTGGAAATGGACCCAACTTGGATAGTCATCGTATGATCTTCGAAGCAACGTAATATTTTGATCATGGTATCAACCAACATAAAATGATAAGCAATGCTCGGTACATTCAGGGGCTTGGAGGACAAGGTGCATGAGTGTAGTGTTTGCTATTTCGAGAAATGCATTTTAAAAGTTTCAAAATTACAAGGAGCTTTATGTCTGAGAGGAAGTTCACATTCTCATTTTGATTCTTAAAAATTGGATTTTACTAATGAATTTTTCACAGAATGGATTTCAAGATTACTTTTATTTGAAATTGCTAACATATCAACTTTTTCAGAAACAGCACTTGTCCTTCAAACCCCTCAATTAAGGTAAACCTTCCTGCAGCCATAGAATCAACATAAAAAATAAATGTTGAAATAACACCAAGAGTTGGATGTATAAAAACACTGACAAGTACATAGTTGATTTGTTGCACTGATCTTTCACTCACATTTGGAACTTTTGTCATAACATTCGCAGGATTTTATGGTTTTGTGATGAGTTTTATCTTCACTGCATTCTTAATATCTGGGGAAAGTAAACTGACAAAATATGCTCTTCTCTGCACAATTCATATGAAATAATGAACAGTGCAAGAGGCATTTTAGAAAATAAATAATTTTAACAGAAAAATGGATTAAAAAAACTGAATTTACTGTAAAACCAAGATCTGATCAAGTATATAACTAAATTGACTGCATTTTAGTTGCAATCCTAAAGCAGGTATCAAAACAATACTTGGTGCAAATCCAGCAACATTCCAAAATTGAGAAAACAGGTAAATGAAACAAGTGACGGGACACTTTATGATACTACGATGAGTTTCACTAAATCAACTGGACCGAGTTATTTTTAACAAGTTCACTGACAGAATTGTAAGGTAGGATGAACTGGGAGTTCTCAGTTAACTTTACCTCCCTTTCCTCGTTTCCAGCTATGTCAGGAATAAATAATCCATCTTGCGAAACCCTGGATCGTATGAAAACAAAATGTTCTAAATTAGGCCTAATGAGCGTTTGAGAGTGACTCAGAGAAGCCACATTGGCAGGCATTTTCTTCAAAACAAGATTCAAATGCTTCTCATTCAGCTCTTGGAAACTTTTAGCGTACTGAAGCTCATGAAATGATAAATACTGATCATCAACACTACGTTGAGCTTCTTGTTGTAATATTTGTTTTGTAAAGCGTTCAATTTTTTCTAACCTAATTCTTAAATAACTAGTTATTATGTAACGTATCCTATCAAGCTCTAGTTGGTAAATATCAATTCGAATATCATCAGATGGTAGCTTCGAAATATTGTCTTCCATCGTAAGGATCTGTTGGTACATGGCATCTACATAGATTGATTTGTGAGGAAGTATTTCTGCTGATAGTTTTTCATTGAGCCAAGCATTTTCTATAAGATTCAAAACGATGGGTGCGGTAAATTCTTCATCATCACTAATATTTTCTTCATCTTCATCGCGTAGTAAACGGCTTATATCAATTGAACTGTCGGTCTCCATCATCAAGTCTGAAAATTCAAAGTTTACATAAAGTTAGATATTGTCATTGTTGATCTATGAAAGAAAAGTCTATCTCAAAATTTTTCACCGTCCAAGAATGAAATTTTGAAGAAAAAACACCAGTAAACTTCAAGTAATATCTGCTTTGTCCACTGGCGGACTATGGGAACAATCAGCAGTCAATAGTATAGAAGCAATGTGAAATTCATCCGCGCAACCAAGGTGTTAGTTTAAAAAAAAAAAAAACAGCAAAAAAAATCTTACTTTCCTGAGGACAACTTGAAATTCAAAATATGTCTGACAAATTGAGTATCAACCGACCTAAGAAAATTTATGATACTGTTATGCTATTTCTTTCATTGAATTTTTCTAAACTTGATAGAAGTCATGCAATTTCTAATGTTTGAAATAAGATCAACCCTTGCAGAGAATTATTTGATGATTTATTTGTAATCAATGAAATTTTGGATTTCTTATCTGATGTTAAATAAAACTACCACATTTTTTCACACGGACAAGAGCTTCTTCTAAGCACATTAAGGTACTGATTTTAAGGGTGCTAATCCAAGGATTTGAATCTAGAGTGTACAAGTCCCAAGAAAATTTCTAAAAAGATGAATGTTGAAATTGTTAAGTGTTTATCTTTCCGAAGTTTAGACTGAATTTATCTCTGATAGAAATCAATCTCAGAACTTCCTACAAGTACCTCTGGTCAGGTCCTCTTTACTCTGGCTTGGTCACAATAGAGTGAAAATATGCATGTGTTCTACATTCTACCATTTTCTGAAAGAAAAATCTAGAAAATGCAGACCAATTGATAGTATGAAAATAATAGAAAGAAGGAACCAAAACGCTATTGTGCTGGAAACGTATGCCGGTGGATCTATCCTTTGAAGGTCCTTGGCTTAAATCTGGTGTCAGAGGCAATCCTAGTGATGCATTTACCTCAGTAAATACTTCGGAAAAAGTTTAAAAGAGAGAACTTGAAGAGAGCATCGCAAATTGTCAGATCGTAGATGAGGCAGGTGCGGCTTTATTTCAAAATCTGTCAAAACGGCAAATTCATGAAATTATACTTTTAAATTGGGAAAAAACTCACATGGACGTTAGTCAAGTGCTTGATGAGAGACTACTTCCTTCAATAGTGGACAAAAATAAACGACAACGCAACAAATGATTAGCCGATGGAACATAAAGAACATACAAAAACTGGAAAATAACCCGCTAAAACATGGATCAATGTTCAAATTACTGAGGTTATGTTGTTGTTTACTTTTTGAAACGTAAACAAAATAATGTAATCTTTGTCAGGGACCAGTTCTATAGGACCCTGGACTCCCGTAAGAGTCAATGTAAAAATTCGTGAGCAGGTACTAGTGCTGCTGTCGCGCGTAGGATCCTTGCAACTCACTGCTGTTATCAGTTGTTGGACTTCATTAAAATCCGTAGGATCGCGTATAACTGCGAAAAATCGAATTTTTCACCATACATTTAAGTGCGGCGGGCCTTCCTCGTCGAAAGGGGTCGAAAAACGCCAAAAATATACTTATTTTTCAAGAATTCAGCCGCCTTATGTGTTATTTTTCAATCTCCGGCTTAACCTCACTTTTGGAGCGGGCGATGGATGAGTCGAGGTTCGGGGGGAAGGATCCTCTGAGTTGACTAGGATCCTACGCGAGAATGCGCTGCAATCACCCGCTCACAACAGAACGGCGTCCTATAGAACTCGTCCCTGTCTTTGTTTGAAGCAAAGACCATAGGAGATCCAAACTGATAAAACGTGCACTGCGTTTTGCATCACATTGTTTTCATTGGTTTTCATCATTGATAAAGTGACAGTGAAGTGTGAACCAAAGTGAAGTTTTCAGTTTCTATTCGTTCTTGCCAAGTTTTTCGGTTTTTTTTTCCAGTTTTTTCGTATTTGATCGCATTATTTTGATCGTGACGTTTATTCACCAATCATGTTTCAGTCAAATCATGCTCTCTGTCCTAGAATATCAAGTTTTCCAAGTTGACAGCAGGAACTCAGGAACTACTGCTAGCTAGCCTTTAAAAATACTTACTTATTAGATGAACAAAGGATTGATCAGAAATTTATAGCAACAGGTATGTACTATGTGATCCATGAATCAGCAAATGTTCACAGCAATAGGCTAAAATGTTTAATTTTCCTATGTAAATTATCGATTTTGACATTTTCTCATAATGTTCATTTTCCTCTAAATTTTCACAGCATGACAGAAGGAAGCTCAACAGAAATGGGTCTTTGCACTTGGATGTCCGACTTACCAGACGAACTTCTAGAGTTTCCTGTCATTTGCCTTGCGATACCGGGTACGTATGTCACACATCTATTCTAACTTTCTTACCATCCTCATGTTTTAGGTCTGATCGCTGATACTACTCGCAGCATGTAGCTGTGCACCATCCAAGGTGAGATTGAAGAGAGAACTTACTATTTATAAGTTTGGTTTCCTTCATTAGCAAACGTCTCAAACATTCACTCAGTTATCTTCGCATCTGATATGCTTCTGTGCTGTTTCGCTTCATGTCTGACAAGCAACTCAATAGGGAGACAGGGACTGCTAAGTAACTTTCCAACTGAACTGAAAAGAAGGTGTTTAGTGAAGCACGCTCACCAAGTTTTTGTTCTGTCCTTTTGTTATTTTTTATTTATTTTTTGAATAGTTATGACAACAATTGACAGTAACTGAAACGTCTAAATGCACCCAGAAGCGCAAAATTGTGGGGGCGCACTAACAAAATTTTACAAACATAACAGATCCTCTGAGGAAAAAGGTTGGTGGTACAAAGAGAATAACAAAAAAAAGTTTTTGAGCTCTCTGCCAGATTTTAGATTTTACATAGAAGGTATGGTTACAAGTATTACAGTTACACAATCACAAGTATACAAGTAAGTGCTAATTTCATGTTCAAACTTGTATCTTGAGACCCTTATCTTGTACTTAAAGGTTATAATGTCACGCTGAAATAAGTCTACTATGTGGTCAGGTTCTGACTTGTAGGGATGTCGAAACCTTTTGAGTGCTAATAGCATTTTCTGAAGTGTTTGGCACTTTCATAATTCTGCAGTTTGAAACTATAAGCAGTTTCATAGAAAAGAATTGTATTAAAAGAGGAAAGGTAATTCATTGTTCAGCTTTTTGAGAGATTTAAGTAGAAAGATTCAAAACTATACCTGCATACCTTGATGTATCTTCCTGAATTTCAGCTCCCTAAATTTTTTTCAGTAAGTATGAAAAAAAACTTGCGTAGACTTGATTTGTAATTTTTTTGTGTGTTCCATGTTCTCTATTTTGAAGATAAAAATCTGAAAAATATATTTAAGATATACTCATTGGATCTTAAAGATATTTTATTCATTTGTAATCTCTAAGAGTTTTTACAATCAAGCAGTGTGAAATTACATTGGTAGCGATAATGAAATTATGTTCGTGCGTAAATGGTGTGCTCGAAATAAGGGCCCAACTGTGCCCTGGGAAGTTCTGAAATCAAAGCCTCAAAAAAATTAAAATCAGTAGCATCTTCAAATTGAATTTGAAAACTTTCTATTTCGTTTCTTGATTCCAGGTTCCCATGATTCCATGTCTTACACCATAAAACGAGGTGCCCGTCTTGCGCCTGACTGTTTGCCCATTTTGTATCGCTTAAGCCCTTATCTTGGCCCAATTGTTCGCAGACTGTCCTACAATTGGTGTATCACCCAGCATGCAACAGCCTCTGTTCAACTTCTCAATGGTATCAGGTACTTAACTTTATGATGTAAAGCAAAGTTTTAGTATCTTTAATCTTCCAAATAGCACTTAGGAACTAAAATATTGCATTCTGTTGCAGTAGGTAACATGGTAAAGTTACTACACATTTTTTGCAATGTTATCGTAATTTTTTCTCAACATTTGACATTATCTTTTTTTCATTGAAAAAGTTTGAATTTCTCTAGAAAAGAAACTTCGAATCATTTTGGATTTAGGGCCACAAAATTTGGGAAAGGTTTTGGGAAAGAGAGTTAGCTTTGTTGCGCCAACATTCTATTAAAAAAACATTAACACTCTCTAGCTCCAATCTCCAAAAAGTTTGGTGTCAAAGAAAAAAAAGATGTAGAAAAAACAAAATATATCAAGTACCCACCTAAATATTTTTTGTAAGGTGTAGAAAAAAAAAGATATTTCAAGATACCCACGTAAGTATTTTTTGTTTTAAATAATGAAAAGCATAGTTCTTCGTGGTCTAAATGCAGAAAACCAACTGAAGGATTTGTGATTTCATCACATTTCTTGACGAGCCAGAGGCTAAGTGATTAAAAATTACAATAAGATCTCAATTTTTTTAAAAAAAAAAAAATGTATAACTATACCGTGACTTAATTTTCTTCCAATATTAGCTATTTTAGTATATTATTGTACTCCATGATACTTGGGTTAGTTGTAGGTGCTTTGCTGAAGTGAACAAGGGAGCTTTTGTCAAAGGAAGAGCTCAGAAATCCATAGATCAATTTCCATCAGATTTTAAAACGTTTATATTGGAAGCTGTTACACATGCCCTCTGAGTTTAAAGTCAGGCATCATAACTTTTCAAAAATGCTCAAGGATGAGCCTATCGGCATATTAAGCTTTAAGGTTGTCCAATGAGAAGGCGTTTTTGTGGAGTATTTTTGAAAAATAATGATTTCTGATTTTTAATCTGGACAGCGTATGCAGAAGCAAATGTTATTTTAATATTATATGGATTAGACCCAAAAGTTTCAGACAATACTCTTCAAAACCCGAAGGAAATGGATTTACTAGTGGCTTAGCCTAGCTTACTATTGATTGAGCCTATTTTGTTGACTAGCTGAGCCAATGCATCTTACAAGATGAAAAGCTCAACATCTGTCAGGAGGTTTGGACATTCTTTGAAAGATTTTCCAGGAATGAATCCTTCAAGAACATTTTTTGTATACCTAATTCCTCTATGAATATAAGGATTTTTAAAAATGTGAAAATAGGTTTAGGAAAATATGAAATAAGGGTTTTTTGGACTTTTGCAGGTATTTTGATCTACGTGTATCGAAGAAGAATGATGCCGATGGATTTTACTTTGTGCATAGTTCTTATGGTGCTAAAATTAATGAAGAGCTCAAGACCATCAATGTATTTCTGGAAGATTTCCGCCATGAAATAGTCATCTTGGACTTTCAACACATTTACAACTTCAAAGATAAAGATCATATTGAACTGATTTCTTTCCTTCACGCTACATTTTCTTCAAAAATTTGTGTAATTCCATCGAGTCTTTCATCTGTGACACTTCGATGGATGAGGTCCCACAACTACCAGGTATCTCATTCCCATGTACACCAGTCTTTTTTTCCTCATTAATTATTATTTCATGCAACAACTTATGAGTATTACCTTTTCTGATCCATTTGAGTCCTTAAGTTGTTTGCGAAAGGGGTTTTTGGGGAAAGGCGAATTGTGTTTTCAGCACAAATTTGATTAAAAATACATGGAAAAACTAATTTACTCCATTAATAGCCGGAAAGAAATTTTTGGTGCATGATTTATGGAGAAAAGTTTTGGTTGAAAATGAGTCCAACTTTCCACTTCTTTCAAGTAGCTTTCTTTTGATGCCCAAAAATGATCTCAAAATTGTCCTTCAATGAAAGTAGCCTCTATTTTTTATATATTTTTCTGTCAAGTTGTTCATTATTAACCGCTAGTCGATCTTTAACAAAATTGCATTGGCCATGAGTTAAGATCAGCAATAAAAAAGAAAGATCCGGAGATTTTACCCACAGTTTTTGACCACTTATGTTCAGATGGTTTCTACAGATTTCTAGCTTATCACTTTTACTTCTTAGAGGTTTTTCTTTAGTATCCTTCGTCATTGTGCCAACAGTCATTGCAGAAAAATTTCCTTGTTCAGAGGGGGAAAAAATTCATAGGTTTGAAGTCAAAATTAAAATTCCTTCAATGAAGGGACAGGGTAGCAAACCATAACAACATGAGCATGCATCTTTGTTTAATTGTACAAATTAAGCACCTTGACACTATAGCAAGGAACTTATCAGAACGTATTGTTAATTCGGCCAGAAAATAAAACCCAACTTCAGTAACTAATTAAAATTCTTGCAAATTAGTTAGGGCCAATGTTTCCAATTTCTTAATTCCTCTTTTTTATTTTCACAGGTAATACTTATTTACAGAAACGAAATAGTGAAAAATTTGTCATCTTTCTGGCCGCTTGGTTGCTGGCCAACGCCATGGCCTGATACAACCTCAATCAAATCTATGCTCAACTTTCTAACAAAAGGTCTCACAAATCGTCCTCATGGCAAAGGGTATGTAACTCAGTGCGTTTTGACACCAGACGTAAAATACATTATCTCCCACCTCTACTCCACTTTAAAAAAATCTTGTGTTAATCGTTGCAATCATGCTGCTATTCCTTGGATATTGGAGCAGAAAATTAGTAATTGTTATGGTATTAATGTCGTGATAGCGGATTTTATAGACCAGGAAAATGGTGCCTTTCCAGAAAGTGTGATATCATTAAATTACAAGTCAGTTGGAATGAATCGTAGCAACGTAACCCAAGACATCATCAAGAATAGAAGTAGTATCCCTGTTGGTAATGTTAAGACAGCAACAAAAGGGTAAGAAAAACCTCTGGGTTATTTTAAATTATTATTTTTTTAACTCCAAAAGTGATTTTTGCTCTCTGAAATCTTACCATTGCAACGCTGGTGAAATTTATACCTTAAATATATTTTCCATTATCATTATCATTAGAGAAGTAAGAGAAGTCATGCTCTTGAATTTTATCTCTAGTACAATTAGTATTAAATCTACAGTGATTTTCAACTTGCTTCAATCCAGTAAGTATCAAGTCTATCGTCACTCTGAAACCTTGAGAAGAATAATTAGGCTTAGTGGGTGTTCGATTCCTATTGTAGAAAAAAATTAAAAACTTGACTCAATTAGGAAAAATGAATACATACTACTTATGCTTGAACTAAGCACCATATAACTCTTTGCTTCATAGGTAACCATTGTGATAAATCTACTTAATTACCCTGTTCCGTACAGTAGGTGGTCTACCGGAAAATGTCTACAAAGTGAATGCCTACCCGTTTTTAGGTTACTTTTAGGCTAATTACCATACTCATCTGTCTTCTTCTAAAAACATTGAGCACTTCTATGAGAGTTGCTCAAGATATGAACTCTGATAGATTCATCAATACTAAAAATTCGGAGAAAATTCCTGACATTAAGTTAGATTGGGTTTGAATTTCTTTTGGGTTATCATTCTTTATGTTGGTGAAGCATTTTCACCAGGAACTTCTCTAGTCCGTACATGAGTCATTGGTGGACAAAACTATTGATCAAATTGGCAAGACACTCAAGTCAACATATTGTTAGGTTAATTCGCGTATCTTTAGGTATTCTGAGAGCTAAAGTATATTCGGATTTTATTCATAAGTTGCGGTTTTTCACGAGACCTAAGAATTCAAGAAGTCATAGGAATTGGATTTCATACCTTCTCACTCGCTTCTTCAATACATATCAGCTATGCAATAACCCAGTGCAGATCAGCTAATAGAAGTACACACACAGTGCTAAGAGCTGGCAATTGCTTGCTATTGTTTTGTTTTTTTTTGTTCTTTTTTTTTTTGGTCAGTGCTATGAGAAAGTGTTTTTCAATGTAGTTTTTCCGTCAATGGAAGAGTGCCCAAATTTTAGTCGTGTAATGAGACATTATCTATTTATACAACTTGCCTGATGAAGAAAACAAGAGCCGAGGAAATGCTCTCAATGAATAATCTCAACCGGAAGAATCAATTGACAATCAATTTTAAGTAAATTCTCTTGTGATAAAAATTCAGCCTTGTGAAAAGTGATGGAAATGAATCACAAGCTCAATAGTTGCCTTTGCAGCCGCTTATCACAATGAAAAATCTACAAAAGAAGGAATGAAACTCAATAATGTTCAAGTTTGTTGCAGTGTTATGAAGTTGGACGAAATACTCTTGCTTGTCAGTACCATTTCATTCATTGAAAGAAAAACTTTGCCTCTCATGTGTAAAACATAATTTATAAAGAACTTAAGTACCTATTTTGATGGAAAATTAACTTGAACAAATTTATATAATGTCTCTGCGGTAGCCCTCTAATTTTTAGTATGCTGTTTCAAGTGCCTGATATGTTTGATACGGAAGTATTAGTCTAATTTTTAAGCGTAATTTTTCTCACGGTAGAAAATCTAACTGGATGTTTAAGTGATTATGTGATCAATTTATAGTATTTCCAAAGACAAATCTCTAATCATTGAATTTTTTTGCATTCATGATGTTTGAAATTTACCTGAGCCTTTCTACTGTTCCATCATGCTGTTTTCAAGCAAATTATATTTTGTACCTAATAACAAAGAAATATTTTTGACTAATGTGGGTTGGTTTCTCTAATCAACACCCTTACCTTGTTATCAAAAAACAATACTTCTTATTTTTGTAAAATGAGGTGTACTTTCCAATATACTTAATTGTGAAAAGTTCGGCCACTACCCTACAGTTTTGATCAGAAGGGTATTAAGTTCTTTAAGAAACAACAAGAAGGATGAGGAGGGTGAAAAATCATCCATTTTTCCAGTAATCAGTATTTTTGTGTAAAGTTTGTATTTCAGCCCAAGAATATTTAGCAGTTCCTAATCCATCTCCACCTTTTTGGTGACTGCAAAGTTTGATATCCAATAACAAGATTTTTTGAACTTACTACTCAAGCGGATAATACCACTCAATTACTTTAAGCAATTTTTATTCCTTACTCATTTTTTTTGGTGCAGGCTACTTAATGATTTGAGTCTATTGACAGTTGTCATTTACTTCTACTATATTTTATTTCTTAAAAATTCAATTGTATTTTATTTTAATTTTACTGAGGTTACCAAACCACGTTACTTTTACATTCTATCAGTTTTATTGCTTTATTTTTTATTTTTACATTCATTTATTCCTCCTTTATATTTTTAACGGTTGTTTGTTCTTGTATTTTCTCAAAATTTATTTTGGCTTAAAAGCAAATGTCATCTTTTACTGAAAACTGTGATTATTTTCTTTACTACTTTACTTTTTGATTATACTCCATTATTGAGATAAAAAAACGATAAATATTTGTTGACCACCAATTCTCGAAGTCTGTAATTCTTATCCTTTAAAATTCTGAAATTTTTGTCTAAATTTCTTATTTTTCTCTAAACAATGAAACCAACTTTCTCCTACTTAACATAAAAAACTGTTACCCTCTATAACAGCATCTATTTTATATATATATTTTAAAATTATGTTTTAATAAATCAATCGCTCTTCAAGGTTGTAGCAGTTGCTTTCATCCAGTGACATAGATGTGGAACAACATGCTTCGCGCACCCTATTAGTTCATTTGTATTCCTGTCTGCAAGGTTATCATAGTAATATTCACACACCAGCAATTTTAGCCGCACTTTCCATCATTACTTAATTCTATAAAACATGTGAAATAAAACATAAGCTAAACGGTCCACTCGCTCTGATCCCAAATTCCTAACAGAGATAAATGAATTCTGTGCGTATCAGAAGTCAGCTGTATTATGTAAACCGCTGTAGGGCGAAAATTTGAAATAGGGGCTGTCCCATTCTAAATATCCACCATGTCACGCTTTAATGTTTTGATACTTTTAACGACACTGAACAAAAAGCATTCGAAATAGCAATGATTGCTTGAGTTCTGGGAGAGCAATAAATAAATGGTAGTTTTTGGATGAGCGGTTTGAGAATAACGACAATGGAATTCTGTTGAGAAAACATGATAAACTTTATTCACGATGCCAAATTCCAAAAGAAAATTTACCACCGCATAAAATGTGATTTGCGAGAGCTGAAAGAAGGACATTTAGTCGCAACGCATAGTCAACATGAAGTAAGTTTTAGGCAAACTTCGACTTGACTTAGACTTGAACATGTCTATGATAATATCTGTATTCTGTCTTCCTAAGAATATTCTGATGTCAGCCAAAATATAGTCCCTAGAATATTTTCAAATAAATTTCATCATCTTGTCGAAAATATTCCTAGAATATACTGATTTTTGCAGAGGATGGCTCAAATTTATCACTGTTCTATGGTGTATAAACCAAAAAAAAGTAACTAGCAGACCAGACCTGAATTTAGTTATCATTCTCTCGTTTCTTCTTCAAAATTTTAACAAAAAAGAAAAACACAACCTGGACTTCACTGATAAATTTCAGGTTATACAGGAGCATTTACTTACCAATTAATTGATGAGACTAAAAAAGAAAAAAAAAAAGGTAAAAAAAATAATGTCATAAATTTTCATTTTATTTTACAAAATCTTGAAAGAAGGTAACTGTACATTTTTAAAAATGATATAATTTAGACCTACTGCCTATCAAACCTCTACCAAATCTTCTATTCAAATCTCTCAGAGCTTAGTCAAGAATCTTTGTACCCATGGTAGGATGGGCACTGTCCTAGAAGAAATTGCAGCTTTAGAATTTCAGTATTCGGAACTTCGTAAGTTCCAGAAGCAATATTGCTTTCAGGCCTCGGAGCCTAGTATCATAAAATCATTACCTTAATTTTCTAAAGTATTTTTACAAATATCCCTCAATTAAAAAAAAATATCAAAAAGTTGTTTATCCGCATATTGCATCTATTTATCATGCATTAGCTCTTATATAGTAATAAAAAATGAAATATGCATCTTTAGCTAAATATTTCTGTATTCTTAAAAAAATATCCATAACTTTGTTCGTGTATCATAAACAGGAAGACACCTTATGGCTTGACTCCAATTCTCAATGAGCATAATTTTTTAATACAAAAAATGTGACAATTTATGGAAAGGCTTAGTACAAACCTCTGAGGATTCAACTCCCAAAGTTAGAGCCAGATGCTCCATTAATTTAAGAAGCTTCATAGCCTCTTCAAGTACAGGAAGACATGTTTTAAGAAACTTCAGAGTTATTAGAGGGACCATGAATGAGATCAAAGGCTAATGTTGTTGATAGAGAGATGTGATGTGGAGCCTCTAAGAGACGTGGCAGGGTGTAGACTTCTGGTGATATTATTTTCTTTTTAATGCTCAAACACAGCCTTCAGATTTATAATAACTCAACCAAACAGCTGAAGTGTTGTGATTACTTAAAGAACCAAAAGTATCACGACGTTTCGGGAACTAAGCAAGTCCTCTTTTTAAAATGAAGTAGGTAGGGTAGGTAAACTAAAAATGATTCAAAAAATATTATTTACTTGGTAATTTGCCGATTTAATTCATGTTTTTTTCTGATAAACACATACCTGATTTATTTTTATTTTTTAGGTTGTATGTAGAGACTCTTTAAAGTTCAAGTTTTTTTAAAGCCTTAAGACATTTTATAAACTTAGCAACATCGCAATGATCTCCGTCTCTCCGTTCAAATTCTATATCATTTCCTCAATCGCTACGATTTTTATCATAATTACAAGTGTCTCATCTTATTTTCTCAGTATGAATAACCTATGACCTGTCTGTTTTTCACCTTACCTATCAACACGGGGCAATCAAATCTGGGGAATGAGAGAGGTGTAAATATTTGTCATTACAAGAAAATATTTGACTCCAATCAAACCAAAATAATTAAACTTGGCCATGTAAGGTGTAGATAAGTACACATTTTCTAAGGAAGAACCTATAGCCACCATAAATGAATTCCAAAGATAAAACGAATCATCGAGTTGGAGAGGTAGAATTCAAGGTACCCAGGAAACACCAATAGACATGTAGGTATAGCTTAGTTACAAATAATTCCTACTTGCTGTAACCAAGAAAGTCAACGTTGCTGGAAATGCATACTTTGGTAACAAATATTTACTATTTCCCCTATCCCCCTCCAAAACATTTCAACAAATGCATTTTAGCCTCTCCCACTGCAAGGCATCACAGGTTCCGTTTTACCCTTGTTACGAACTGAATGGAGAATTCGCAAGCAAATTTTTTATTGCTTCAACTGAGAGTGCTTAAAGGGCTGATTTTGCAGTATTTTTATAATTTTTTTCTGATATAAGAAATAGTATGAAATAGACTGAAAGTGAGAAAATGGACCGCCTGGTGACGCCCCCTGGCGGTTTTTCCCATTTAAACACATGCATTTTAGCAGATTAGATCATTTTGTCACGTCTCCTCTACTAATTAGTCAATTTACAAACTAAGGGTAGCCTCGTGTTCAGTTTACCCAGCAGTTTCTACTTAAACACGAAATTCATCCAATTTTAGACTTGTGCAAATTCTCCATTCTCCGCATTATAATCCCTCTCGAGTTGCAACGTCAGCGCATTTTGAGTCTCCTCAACACTTTTATCTGAACAAGAAGGAGAGGGGCCCTCGGTTGGGTCGTGGATTATACACGGGAGATGGCGGTTGATACATCATCGGCCTGAAGTAAGGACTGGTGGACGAGGAGGCCATTGGTGAAGGTCCATAGAACCGCGAAGGCATCGCATAACGAGGGTTTGGTGCCGGTCGAAAGTCGAACGCGTCCCTCGAGGGATTGAAGGATCCCGACCAAATCGGCGGAGGTCGATATGGTGAGGGTTGAATCGGTCGCCGACTGATGACAATGACGCATTTGCCCGGCTTGTGCGAGAGGCCTGCAAGTCGCATGATCTTATGGATCAAAGCGGGCGTCGGGACTATTGATGGGTTATTTGTTTGGGGTTGATACGGGTTTGTGGCAGGTTGCATCACACTTTGTGGGAACGGCGTTGCAGCTCCGTCCGGACGCGCATAAGGAAATGGTGCGGTATTTTGACCACCAGGTTGAAAATCAGAAGTTGGAATGATATTTTGACTCAGGTGACCATCGGGTGGCAAAGTAGTCTGGTACGGGTTTGTGGCAGGTTGCATCACACTTTGTGGAAACGGCGTTGCAGCTCCGTCTGGACGCGCATAAGGAAGTGGTGCGGTATTTTGACCACCAGGTTGAAAATTAGACGTTGGAATGGTATTCTGACTCAGCTGATCATAGGGTGGCGAAGTAGCCTGGTCTGGAACCCCTGTTGCTGGCTCAACTTGGACGTGAGCAGAACTTGGAATTTGATCCCCGTTAGCAGAGATGACGGATATAGGATTGGTTTGTGTGCTCGGTGTCTCTTGAACCTGATTCGAACCAGTGCCTGAATTTGGACCACTCGGGATGCTTTGAGCTGGTTTCTGATCACCGGCATTCGTGATGTTTGTGTCCGTTGCAATGGCATTTGTGGCATTCTCTCTCGCGTTGAGTCCTGTGGAGGCCGCTGGTTGGTTTTGAAGTCTTTGAGAATTGCTCGACTCGGTTGGCTGTTGATTCGATAGTGCGTTGTCTTGATTTTTGGCTGTTGTTTTTGTTAAAGTCTCAACCGCGGGCGTTTGGAATTCTGTCAGTTCCGTCAAACCGCTTTCTATGCCGTCATCCGCACTAGCGCCTCTGATGTTAGTCTCTTTAGGGGCATCAACGTCCGGTATGTCAACCTCGCCCACTTCGGTCGGGAAGTCTATAGGTGAGATTATTTTGGTGGGTGGGGTATAAGTGTTGACTGTTTGGGAGACCGTAGGGGGGTTTATCGGAGGAGGCAATTTTTGGACGCCTTGATCTGGTGCCGCAACTGGGAACCTCTGATTTTCTGCGAGTTTATTATTCTGTCCCGTAAAATGAGGATCCCCATTTTGGAATTCAGGAGCAATGGGATTCCCGTTAGGAATGACATTCTGACTCGGGAGGTTACCCGCGAGGCTGTTATGAGGCACTGACACTTGAGTAACTCCTTGATTAGCCTCAGCGTCTTTGCTTAACCCTGTGGAACTTCCACCCGGCACACTCGATGTTAAGCTTGAGGAAACGGTATTAATGGGCAGATGTTGCTGTTTGAGGTCGCTCGTACTGACGGTCAAGGGTTTGGAACTTGAATTATCTGGTTGATTACTTTCTGGGTTGATGCTCATAGCCTCCGTACCTGGCTTTAAGTTGGAAGAGGCCATAGATGTAGGGTAATTTTGGTTTTGGTGGTTGCCAATACTGCTAGCCGGAAGATTAGTGCCAGGAATATCTTTTAAATTAGTTCCAAATGTATCGGCTTTTCCCACAGGATTTGTAGCTTTCTCAGTGGACGGTGTTTCTAGTGGTTTTGTGTTTTCAAGTGAAATCTTGTTTGTGGTATTATTAGTATTGCTAATCGATTCTCCTCCAGGCGAAGTTTTGGAAATAGCAAGATTGTTAGTCTGTAGCCCCTTTAGTGGACCGGTATCCGTGTCAGCAGGTGCAGTAACGGTAGAGGCAAGGGCTTTTTCACCCAAAAACGTGTTTCCAGTGATGTCTGGAACCTTAGAGGCTGGGGAATCCTTTTGATCAGCGGACGTACCCACCATAGCGAGATTGGTATTCGCGTCATCAGTTGCTGAGTGTGAGGAGGCGATTCCTCCAGGGTAATTTGAATCTTTGAGGGAGTCGGTTTTGGAAATGCTTGAAGTTGGTCCACTATTCTGACTCAAGTGAACATTGGGGGACGAGGCGCTCTGCTCTTGAGCCCCTGTCTCTCGCTCGATTTGAACTCGAGTAGAACTCTGTATCTGATCCCCATTGGTAGAAATATTAGGTATAAGATTGCTTTGCGCGTTCACTTGTTCTCCTGATTTTGGACTTTCTTGATGCTGATCAGAACCATTGCTTGAAGCTGGCATAGTATTCTCACTTGGATGAGCATCAGGTGAGGAGGTATATTGGTCTGCAATCCCTGTCGCTGGCTCGACTTGAACGTTGGTAGAACTCGACGTTTGATCTCCGTTAGCAGAAACAACGGAAACGGGATTTTGAGCATCAGGTGAAGAGGTATTTTGGTCTGCAATCCCTGTCGCTGGCTCGACTTGAACGTTAGCAGAACTCGACGTTTGATTTCCGTTAGCAGAAACAACGGAAACGGAACTATGAGCATCAGGTGAAGAAGTATTTTGGTCTGCAATCCCTGTCGCTGGCTCGACTTGAACGTTAGCAGAACTCGACGTTTGATTTCCGTTAGCAGAAACAACGGAAACGGGACTATGAGCATCAGGTGAAGAAGTATTTTGGTCTGCAATCCCTGTCGCTGGCTCGACTTGAACGTTAGCAGAACTCGACGTTTGATCTCCGTTAGCAGAAACGACGGAAACGGGACTAATTTGTGTATCCATCCTCTTATCTGATTTTATGCCTTCCTCGATCTGACTTGAACCAATACTTGATGCCTCTCCGATGTTTTCACTTATGCGAACATCAGGTGACGAGGCTCTCTGGTCTGAAACCGCTGTTGCCGGTTCAACTTGAACGTGAGCAGAACTTGACGTTTGATCCCCATTCGCAGAAATAACGGATGTGGGACTGATTTGTGTGATCATCGTTTCTCCCACCTTTGGATTTTCCTGAGGCTGTTTTGAACCATTACTTGCATTAGGGTCACTCGCAATACTGTCAACGACTCTTTGCTCCCCAGTTTCCGAACCACTGTTCTTCATTGCAGCTGTATTCGTGGCACCATCTCTCACGTTAGACTCCGTTGGAGACTCCGCCTGTGAATTAGAAGAAATGATTACACCAGACCCGGTAATAGGATCAGACCGAATGTTTGGAGGTCTCAATTCCAAGGATACTTCGCTCACAGGGTCCTTTTGGTTTGTAGGGTTTTTAGTATCGGTCAAATCTGAAGCAGGAGAGTCTGGTGACTTAGGGATAATGATGTCACCGGACGCGGCAATGGAATCTAATCGAGTAGAGTTTTGCTCTAAGGAGGCATCGCTTGTAGGAATAATATTACTTGAAGGGTTATCTGTATTCGCGATGATTGAGGCAGCTAAGTCTGACGAGTCAAAAGCATTGCTGACACTTGACTTGGCAATGGGATCAGATACAGCTTCAGTGGGTATTACCTCTGCGGAGACAGGATTTATAGGGATACTTTGATTTGTGAGGTCGTTAGTTCTGTCCGTAGTTCCAGATGTCGACAAGTCTGGTGCGATAGGAGAAGGGTGGACGTGTGTTTCGATGGCAGGATCAGATTTAGTGCTGGCATGTGTCAGATTTGAGTAAAGAACATTTACAGGAGAATGCTTGTCTTTTACGATTTCTGTGGCGGTATTCGAAGTTAGAGGGGCCGGCAAATTTTGTAAATTGACAGAAGCTTCGACGTTTAATTTCACTTGGTTTTTGTCAACACCATTCAAATCTGACAAGATAGCAGTTAAAAGAGAACCTTTGTTTTCCACACCATCGGTGCTAGTGGAAATTTTTGAAGTGAGTAAATCAGATGAATCAGTGGCAGCGTCACTGATGATTCCGGTTGCAGGATCAGGCGGATTCAGAGAAGGCGTCAAACCCGAAGGTGCAGAGCTCTTAAGAGAATTTTGGTTTGAGAGATCGTCATTTGGGTTGCTGGAAACTTGAGGAGCCGAAAATTCATGCCTCGTAGCCTGAAAATCTTTACCTCGCGATCCTGCGGAGCCAATAGTCAACGAATCTGTCGAAGCCGGTTGATTGGGCGAATTTATATTTTCATTGTTGTCGACACTGTTTAAAACACCAGGAACCGACGGATCTTGGAAAGATGTAGAGTTTAAATTAGTATCTTTGATGGTTGACGCTACGTTTGATTTTAGCGTGTCTCCAGGTGAATTGTCCGTCGACGACTTGTCGGGAATTTTAGCAGCTGAAAAATCTGTATTTGCTCCAAAGCTTTTGCTCAATCCCTCTGAAATTACGTCTCCTTCAGAGGACTCAGAGACTGGGGGGACCGAATTTTCTGAAGATTTTTGGTCCGTAATATCAGAGACAGAAATGTTCTCTTGGCTTGGTTTAGACTCGTTGCTTACTTCTACAGGTGCAGTGCCATTTTTAGGAGAGCGAGAAGGGAGGTTATTTGATTGGCTGTCAAGAATGCCGTTCTCCGGGTTGGGAATGGTAAAATTTTGTCTTTCCTCAAAATCCGTCTTCATTGCTTCCTGAAAATCCGTCTGCCCGTTTGCTGCATCGGGTATTGATTTCGCATTCTTCCTCGAGAAGTTCTCAGGGACATTTGTATCAGCAGAAATAGAGTCATCTGGTCGGTTTGCAGGAGACCGGTTAACTCTTTTATTATCAGTTAGCGTAGTTTCATCGAAAACTGATGGGGTCCCACTGGCGGGCGATAACTTCTTTTCAGACGCATCAACCTCTAGGCCGTCTAAAATTGAGACATCATCCTCTTGTTTCTTCGGCTGGATGTCATTGGTTTGACCTTGAACTGCAGGGAATTGATTCAGGTTTAAACCCTCGCTATGTTGCGTGTTTAGGGATGGAGGAGGGAGAGATCTAGGGGTGAGGATTTCTTCGTCAGACTCGCCGCTGGACTCTCGAAACTCATGGATGGTCGTATCTTCTGGCGGCGGGATTTCAGGGAATTGAAAGCTCTTGTCTGCCGGGTCGCTGGAGATGGTCTTACCGCGGTTGAACGGGAGGCTGTAGTCGGCTATGTCCAAGTCTGGCGAGGCGGGTGGTAGGATTTTTGTGGACCGCGTTTGGATCAGCTGGTTCTTCTCCGGCTCGGGGGGTGCCTCCGGAATCTGGTCCGGAATCACTGAGACGTATTTTGACTTGACCGACATCGGCCAGTGTGGGATGCTCTTCTTGACGTCCTCCACGAATTCGTTGGTCTTCGCGTGGCTGGCAGCAATGGTGGTCGGCGTCGGTAGACAGGATGTTTGCTGTGCCACCTGGAAACATACGAAATATAAAGATGAAGGAATGACACATTCAAACGTATAACGTAAATATGCCAAGGAGTAACAAGTCCAGCTTCAGGCTGAAAGGATGATTGTGCGTTTTAAATATGCACGAGCGTTTCATCACCCAAGGGCAAATCGTGCAATGATATAGGTACACTATTGCTGAAGCTGGAACGACTCGCGAATTTTCAAAATTTTCATCTCATTTAATTTTAATGGAGAAAAAACAAACCTATTCCAATTACAATTTTTTTATTTAAACATTTTTATATTATTTACAATTTTTTTTTCAATTTTTGTATTTCCTCCTTTCTCTTGAATTGTTTATTTTGTATACCTCAAACCATTTTCTTAAAATTTGATGCAAAAGTATTTAAAAATGCTAACAGTTTTCAGAAGTTTTTTCCGACTGGATGCGAGACAACATACTTCATGAATGTTCGCAAAGGGAAGGATTATGGAGGCAATTTATGATACAAATATTTTAACTCTGGTGTGAGCGGTGAAGTATCGTGCGAAACTGAAGGCGTTTTCGATTGTTGGTAGCAGTTTAATATTAACGTAGCTTACAAAAACTCGTTCCTCGCAAAGAAATCAAATACATCCGTATCCGCCATCATTTCATTGAGGACTCTAGTGAGGATTCGGTACGAAACGTTCGTAAATGATGCAAACTGTCTCCTCAAAGGGTTTTCCCGACCAAATGCGAGACATTTATTTTAAGAATGTTGATAGAGTGGAAGATTCTACACGGCAATTTATGATACAAATATTTTAACTCGGGTGTGAGCAGGGAAGTATCGCGCAAAACTGGAGGCGTTTTCGACGGGTTGTCATAGCACACATCAACGCGCGTCTCGTATACAAATCGTATAAACCCGCATTCTTTTGAAAACGAGGCAGGATCTACCAACATAAAATACATTCGAAGGAAACATTTCGACGATGTAAGTCGGCTATCATACAACTCGTTCGCGGTGTCTGAAGATCTCCGACTCTATGTTTTAGCGGCTCTGGTGCTTGCACTAGAGCTGCTATTCCGGACGGTCCCAGCTGGGGAGTATCAATGCAGCATGTTACATTGTAGAGACCGCGCGTTGGTTGATGGGAATCGGCGCCATTTTCGGCTATGTTCCTTGTCATGACTTTCTTTTATTGCATACTGTTTTATTGTTAGTCAATGCTATGTTGTGTATTGTATTTTTGGAATCATGGTGATACAGTCAACAATTCAAAACTTGTTTGTGCTTTTATCTCGTGATGGAAAAAATGTACTTTACGTTCAAAATTTGAAAATTTGAATTTTAAAGTTTTCGCGGTTAAGGAAGCTTTAACCACTGGGTTGGAGCTTCCTAGTCATATTACTTGATATCAGCTGATAGCAAACAAAGGTTACCAGGGAAACCGTAAACGTCTAACAACTATCGTGGCCATTGGGGCGATTATTGAAATGATATCGACTGTATGTCGCCGCTTACGACAGGACATAGCCCTATCTTAACTGTGTAATATATCGCAATTCGATATTGTTTTGATTTTTAAAAGGAGCAATTCATTCATACAGTTCCGATTAGTTTTGGCGAACGGGCCCTTAACCTACGGCACTCGGCTCATGGGAATTTTTTAACTTGTCCTGGACGGACTCGTCTGTAGCGCCTCGTTCTTCGTTGTGTGTGTGATTTCGTGAAGAAGTTTCTATGGCAATTTGCTTTTATTTGTGAGCTGTTTTTTCACGGGATTTTTGAATGTTCTGTACGAATAAATTCGGTGAGTACCTCATTTATCCCTCCTTCCAGTAAAATTATTTCAACTTTTCCTTCTCCCTCATTCTGGACCCACTCATGGGCTGATTATTTTCTCATTCTTGAAACTTTAGACTGGCAATTTCTATGCACAATCTATAGCTCATTAACCTATAGTTCAAGAGTTCCTCACTAGTGTCTTGCTCTTCTTTTTTATTTTTAAAGCCTCAATGTATTTATAGAATTTCAAAAATTTAGTTTTTGAGTTGACTTAAAAAATGTAGAAAATATAATGCTGTTTTAATTTTCATTCGCTACATCGAATGACATCATGATTCTTCGTTAAAAATGGCGCTTTTTGCAAAATCTAGGGATTTTTTAAGTATATTTGAGCAAATCTGGGGATTTAGGGATTTTTAGCGAAATCTAGGCATTTTTTTTCTTCCCCGCTAGGGATTTAATATCGGAAGACTGGCTTCCAGTATCGTAGCGTTGATCGTCGCTGATGTCGAAATGGAACCTAATGCCGGACTTACTGTAACACCTCCATTCCTCAATTCCGGTGAGGAATACGTCTCTACCCTTAACTCAATATAAATATACAAATTGATAAGTGAGTGCTTTAGTCTCCTGAAAACAGAATTGCGAAACTTAAAATTGGAGAAAAATGATGAGTAAATGAAAAAATGGAACCAATTGATGGGATATGTCGCATGCCATTCTGACACAAAATATGGCGTCTATCGAATCACCTTAACTAAATAAAATAACCAAATTTTCAACTCTCAAACTATCAACTATCAACTATCAAATTTCAAACTATCAAAATTTCCAACAATGACAAAAATGATTGTAATATACCTATAATGTAATGAAATATACACGCTCTAATCATTTAATTTGTATTACCTTTATGTTATGTACCTACATGTTATACTATTTTTATAATAAATTTTGCCAACATGCTTTTCAATTCAGTCTACAACATTTCATTCCGACGTGGCAATAATGATTTATAATGCCCCTAATCCATTAAAATGAATTACAATAGTAATGCCGCATTATAATGTCGTATTATACATCGCAACGATTCATGTCCTACTGATTATTGATTATTGTAAGATGAATTCTGTTTTCTCTGATTGTATGTTTCATACGTGCGAAGCAAGTACGGGTCACTAGAAACGTGGTTCGTACGGGTGGCTGATGAAATTGATCTTCGAATACCTTTTGATGAGCTAGGGAAATGGAACCATCTGCATCTCATGGACAATAAATAGTTGCCGTAATTAAGGTCATCCCGTGATTAAGGTGCCGTGATTTAAGTCATAAATTCTTCATCTAATTCTTGATTCATCTCCAAAATGTCTGCTAAAGCTTTCATGCGCTTCTCCTTGTATGCATGAATGAGCAAATTGAGTATCGAACAAGCGGACACTTTTTGAAAATTTAGATGATTCTGGACAATATCGTACAGAATGTCCACGAGCTGCAGATAGAACCATTACCTCTAGCTCATCAAAAGTTATTCGAAGATCATTCAACAACCTCTTTGACAAGTTGCAAAAACTTTTCGCTAACAATAGTGTCACACGGTACTAGGAATATTTACTATTTAACGAACCTTATATTTCCCTGACTCAGTCCTAAATTATAGAAGTATGCGTTACTTTTCCAGCAATCCAAAAAAACAATTATACAAAAAACCAATACCTACACTTTCAGATATAAAAATGCAAATTTTTTGCAGCCTCGCTAAACGACTTATCAACCAGAGATTTTTTTGGAAGCGGACCTCCAAAGAGCTTTCAAAATTAAAAGTATACAACAAGTGATAATGCCATGTATTCGCCATATCAAAGCCCAATACACATTTATACACCGGCTACGTAAATCTGCTAAGTTACAAAACATGAATCGACAGTTGTCGGATTGTACATCAATGACAAAATGTGTCTAGGCCCTCATTCTTGACTACAACTACTGCCCCCAGAGCCGCTCTCCGACGCCAATGCGTTGGAGCTTCCTGCTTGTTTTTTTTTTTAAAGGAGAACACATTGACATCATTCCTTGGAGTTTTCGCAGAATTTTCTTCGCACAGAGCAAAAAATTCACGGCAGTTTTAAAGAATTGTTGTTGAGTAGTTTCCCGTTTAAAAAATAAAGTATGACAGGAAGTCTGCGACGTCGCAAATCGAGTTATGTGATTGCCGACTTACACCGTCGATTTGCAATTAATGCTCACAGTTTCGTGAGCGGTGGAGTATCCCGAAAAACTGAAGGCGTTTTCGACTGGTGACATCAGTTTGACATCGCTCACAACTACGCGTGCCTCGTATACGGATCGTATAAACATGCATGTATCCCGTCATTTCTTTGAAAACGATTCGAGATCCACCAAAGTACAATACATTTGGAAGAACATCTGCAAAATCATGATAGTGTTCCTGCAAAAATCAGGTGAGAGTGGTTTGACGCATAACGACCAAAATACCGGGGTTTTCGGTTTCTTTTTCAACTGGCTTCCACAGGTGTAGTGAGCTTTTTTCCCCCGAAATGAATTTAGGATCGCCTGATTTATCGTTTACTATGGACCACGTCTGAGACAAACATGTCTACTAAAACTTGCGTGCTGGAATGCAAATGTGGGATTAGCACGAGCGTAAAAGCGAGTTAATAAAGGGTGGGAGGGGGAGAAAAGTGATTCATAACCACCTCGTCAGTATGACATCACATTGCCTTCTGAAATGAATCAGTATGGTGTCATTCCGACGCCACTTCGATGTCACTCGAATATCCAGCGACAAGAGACCCTCCACTGGTATCTTCGCAATGGTAGAAGCTTTTAATTTCGGGACTCCAACATTCAACTGTTGACCCACCTACTAGGTGGATGCTTAACAAAGTGTCGAAAATTTAGTTTTGCAAACAAACCGAAGTTTGGAGAACTTGTTTGGCACATTACGCCACCCGAACCTCATCAATCATCCAGAGGTAAGCTACCAGAAAATTATTGTCCATACGGAAGTGTTGAATCCCCGAAAGTAAAAGCTTCCAACTGTCGCCGAGAGGCCAGTGGAGGGTCTCTGTCTCTACTAATATAGTCTCCGAGTCTAAGTGCTCGATATGAACTTCATATTTATGTTGATGTCATACTGCTTTATGAGACTTTCTGTAACTATCGCCGCGGCATCAAAATGACGTCATCATGAGCCAATTCCAGCCGGGAGGTAGGTGCTGGGGGCCAGCCTCTTACCAACCCATCAAATGAATTTATTTGACAGCCAGGTATTTTAAAAAAATTTTCGTTTAGAACCTAAAAATGTATATTACTTTAAGACGTTATAATAATATTCAAGTTCTTTTTTGTATATCTACAGAGATTTTAAGTTATTTTCGAGTTTCCCCTGGAAAATTTGTCACCGATGTAGCCGCTGATGCTCCTTAACTCGTGATAAGTAAATGGTCCCTCGCCCCCCCCCCTTCTCCCCGAGTCAAACCATGGCAATGGGAATCAGTGTATGGAATTCCATGAATTGAAATCCATGCATCATGTAGAGGGAAGAACAAAATGAGGAACAGCCTTTAATCTAATGAAAATGTTAAAACGCAAGTTTATATCGTTTTCTAAATGAAAAAGAAAGGGGGGGGGGACTAAGGAGCACAATATTTGCAGCCTCGATTGCCTACCACATCGTCGTCCCATGAGCAGTTCAATTACGAAAATAAATTCTCAATCAAATACCTAGGTACCTCTGTTTTCTTTATTACTCATCAAAGATAGTCGGTCTAGCTCAAAATCTCGTATTTTTATTAAATTGCAATTCCTGCAAGTACCAAAACATCATTCGGAATTTACACACCCGGGAAAGCGGTTAGATGTTGTGTTCGTGATCCCGCATGGGATTCAAGTATCAATCGTACTTAATTTCCCACACAAATGCGTTGGCGCGAAATCGAGCTGTCTCCTTACGGGGACCGCTTCGTTGCCAAATTGAGATTAATCCTCTGAATTTTGCTCGACAGTGAATGAATTCACACACTACTCATTGATCCATTTCTTTCGAGAAAATTTGCAACACGATCATCGAGTCAAACTGGTAAGCAGAGCTAGCTGCGACCTTTTTGTAGCCAAGGTTTTGAGGTTGTTGCCACTATATATCGGGTGCATTTGCCTTTCCTCGCTCGAGAGAAAAGCAACAATGACACGTCTTTTTTCAACAAAGCAACCAATGATATTAAACGTCGTTAATAAATAACAAAGCAACCAACCACTTAACTAATTAACTAGCAAACTATCTAACTAAAATTAAGCTTTTAGTCAGAGAGATTTGGATTGCTGTCGTATGAGGTATCATGATGGGAGACCGGTGGTTATCATTAATTTCCAATGACTTCAAAGAAATGCCTCTAATAATCAAGCGCGTATTCATTTGAAGAAAAAATACAATTTTGGGAGAAAATGATGGAGCTTTATGAAGGAATTATATTAATTTTAGTTCTAATTTTTTTTTGTCGAGTTGTCTGAATAGGATTATCTATTCTGCCGTGCTAAGGAAGAACGCCGTATGCACATTCGAGGGCTGCCAAATTTCCTTCGATAAAATTTTTATTTTTGAGGGAAGTTACGAATATTCTCCCTTTCAATTTCCAGAACCTTTAGGTAAAATTGTGAACTAAATTACCCATCTGAAAAATTGGGAGGAAAATGTTCATAAATTTACCAGGGAATTCGCGTTTTATGAAAGGAACTTTGGCAACGCCTAAAAGTTCATACGGTGTTTTTCCTTAGCATGGCAGTATTCTTTTACTGTTATTAGAAATAACCCATCGTCGGCAAAAGTTATTAGATTTGAGCGAAGCAAGCCGGAGACTTTCAAAAGTACACAGACTCAAAGCCGTAGATTATTATATTTATATATCGACTCGCAGTTTACATTTACGCATATGTGAATTAAGTGCATTCGCATAATGTCCATGAGATAGTTCATGAGACGAAACTTAGTTTTATGATCGTATACTCTGTGCTGATTTTGATAACATTAATGATCTCAATATCGAACCTAACGCTTCATAGCACAAAAAAAAAAAAAAATTAAAATGAAACATTTCCAGTACTATTTCTTTATTAAAATCAATAATAATTTAAAGTCAGTTGCACTCTTACGTGTCTAAAGCAATGGAGATAGCACTGATAGTGTATTTCTCTAGCTGTAAGGAAGTTAGCCGACAATTCTGCTATTAATTTTTCCCTGAATCTGCTCCAAGTTATTCCTCTTTATTGTAAAAAAGTAAATCGACCGTAAATGAATTCCATCTGCCGCAAATGCTATAAAAACTTGCACAATCTTAGCGGTGTTGCAACCCTCAAACGCTTTATTACCGGAAAAGTACCTACTGACTGATTTGCAAAATGCCGTCCCCAACAGTTCTACTATTAATTTTTCCCTGAATCTGCTCCAAGTTATTTCTCTTTATTGTAAAGAAGTATATCGACTGTAAATGAATTCCATCTGCCGCAAATGCTATAAAAAACCGCACAGTCTTAGCAGTGTTGCGAGCCTTTTACCGCCCTTTTTACGCCATTTTACCGGAAAAGTCGTGAATCGCAAAATTCAGTCCAGATCGTGGAATTTTGAGGAAAATAACGGCAACTCACCAGTAGTAAACAGAAAATCAGCAAATAGGTGCACATGATAATTCCTGGTCAAAATTTAACACACGTCTGCGAGCATGATCGAAAACACAAAAATCTACTACTGCCGCACGCGGTGTGAGCGAGAGAATTTATAAGTGCGGTTGCGTGCACACCTATGTCGCGACACTTGCAATGTTGCGAGCTTCTCGTGTCTATCGCTCCCAAAAATACTACACGATCTCAAAATTTTGCTGCGAATTTGTTTACCGGTTCATGACATTAGGCAATCGTGCATGCATTTCAGCGCGACTTTCATCACTACGTATTAACAGTCCCTGTGCTAAAACATAAAAAAGTCACAGACTCATCATTGCAATGAGAGCCATTTTCCATTTTTTCTCGGAATTACAGCCACGTATCGTGACTGAAAATACGGGGGAAAATATGGATGCTCCTTCACAAAAAACTCAATATTCTCGAGACACGTGTGTCATGGCGAGGATAAGATGAAATTAATTCGAGTAATAAGCGCTGCTTTAAAACCAATAACTGGATGGTGGAATCCTAAAGGAATACATCTCGATTCGAAAAAGGATATAGATTTGTTACGTTATAAAATTCTTGTCACTCCATGCTTTCAAAAAAAGTCTAATGAGCAATATTTTTTTGAATGCTAACCGATTTTTCTCAATTCTATGTGAACTATTTTTGTAAAAGTGTCAAGTGTAGTTCAGTAGTTTTTTTCTGATCAGAAAAGAAATCAGATTCAACGATTTTAATTTAAACAGGATTCAAGGTGCGTGGTTTTTACTTTCACCATCGATATATGTCCAGTAGATACCCCGCTGAATTACAAATATTGAAGTGAATATTTTGGGCTGGGAGCAACTCAGAGTTCGAAGGAGAAAACCAGTTAATGCATGCGAGGAAAACGCTGGTGCAGATTTACCGGCGCTTTTGTCAGCCTTAGAGACTTTTCTTTTTAAAAATATATAAAAATTTAAAGATTTTAACCCTGTGTTCTTGACAGTACTAGATAGCGTTATGTTTCAAAAACCGAAAATAGATTTTTACGATCCAAAATCGGTTTTTACGTGGCACCGAGCAGTTTCAGTTTCCCCCTCAGGCAATGGCGTGGCGTGCTTTGCGATATATCGATTGTTCTGCCATCTAAACCTATGGAAAGGATCGATAAACAGGGTATTTGCAACGAACACCGAAAAAATCGATTCTTTTCCACAGCCGTAAATGGGGAAATACCTATATCGATAATCGATCATTCACGTCTCGCTACTGCCGTCAAGGATTCTTCTGGTTCTTTATCACATACCTGTATGACTTAATTTAATCATTCTATTGAAGATAATTGTCACTCTTTCTCCAACGAAAGAATAAATCAGCGCTGATCCTAAATCTAGTCCACTTTCAAAAGAAACACTGTGATTCAGATTCAGATTTCATATGTTTCTAAGTTAATGAATAGGCGGATCCAGGGGGAGGGGGGCGTCCCCTTTGCCGGGAAAAAAAGGAGGAAGAAAAGAGGGGAATAGAAAGAAGGAAGGAACGGAGGAAAGAAGGATGGAGGACGCTTGTATTGGTAATTTTTTACGACTTAATTGACAAGAACTGCATGCTAGACGCTTTATACACCGAAAAAAAGTGAAGTTGATTTAACAGTCTGGATGTATAAAAATTGTACGAGAACTTACAAAATGCTGAATTAACCCATACAGCATACTTTAGCAGTATCAAGATGTAAAACTAACTGCTGTAGCGGGTAATTTAGCATTTCAAGAGTCCTCGCACACTTTTTTTATATCCAGAATGTTAAATCAAGTTCACATTTTTCCGGTGTAAATTTCGAACATTTCTTGAAGGAAACCTCCCGGGCCCCCTTGCCCCCCCCCCCCCCGTCGAAGTAGCTGGATCCGCCTATGAGTTAATGAGAACCCTAGAAAAATTTTCAGTTCATCCTCGTCCGACGTCCATGAGTCTAAGCTCTGAGATTTTATAGTTAGAAAACAAATGAAAACCTGAAAGTGAGTTTCTGTAATAAAAAAATGCGGGCAGTGCAGGTTACGATTGAGAGGATAAAATCATTGAACTGAGACGCGCTATGGTCGATCTGTCCATTGAACAAATGATACTGCAGCGCACAACAAAATTGTGTATGTACAGCGCCTTGATCGGATACGAATGTGGCGCATACGTCCATCGTTGTAAAATGTCTTTTACAACAGCCGCCGATTCAGTCGACCCGAAAGCAAGGCCTTGAGTTTTCTGACGTTTGGATTCTCACATGGCGCCGTGAACATTGTTCGAACTTTCGTTGTTGAGTCATTTTTGAAGTAGTTGCGGTTCACGTCGAATAAGTTTACGCACTTTCTGATCGCGACAGAAGATCGTCTGACGTCATTTTCGCATGGAAAGTGAACGCAAGAAGCAAGGTGGAGAGTCTTCTGTCGCAGTCTAAAAGAGCGTGAACTTAGTCGACCGGAAACAAGCCAGCTATTTTCCAGTTTTCCTAATCTCCATTAATTTGAAAAATGCCAGAGAATGGAAGCAAGTCTGCTGAATATTTTCGAATTTTGGTAAATGCTTGCTTCTTTTAGAGAATGGACTAGACTTAGAGAAAACACTAAAATTCATCCGAGAATGAAAAAGACCCAGGTTATTGGGGAATTTGTCAGGGAATTGATGTTACAAGTAGGGCATTTCCCTGCTTTCCGTCTCAAAATCAAATCATTTTTTAAATTCGCGGCCTTAATGAATCAGACTCAGAAATGATGAGATATTCGATTTCTCCTCGCCTTTAAAAATCTTTCTCTTTAAGATAATATAAATAAAAGTGAGAGGAAATCCCGGGGTTTTATTGGGGGATTTTTCTGCAAAAATCAGAAACAATCAGGTAAACGTCAGAAAATGAATAAAATCAAGAATTCGAGACACCATGTCTCAGTGGAAATTACATCTCTCATATTGCAAAGAGCTACAGAGCATCGCGCTGATACTTTTTGTCATTTTTCCCTTTTTTGCAAAATTTTTAATTATCATCATTAGAAAACGTGACCGATTCGGACGCATCGATAAACGTAAAAGGGGTGACGTGCGTCATGCATGAAAAAATGGGGGGGGGGACTGATTAGTGAGACGAGTTCGGATTGCAAAGCAGTCGAGGGGCCCCCCCCCCCCCCCAGCGTAAAGAAGTACGAACTATGTTCATCGGTATGTAAGTCATAGTTTTACGCCGGCAGATACGCCACGTCATAGCCGAGAACTATTACGCATTTACAATTACTGTTTTTAGCGTTTGCACGGGAATCGCCTTCAAAATGGCGATTATGCAACTCGGCGGCACCCTTGCCCGAATAGTTATCGCTCAATAGGTAGGAGGGGCTAGTAGCGGATTTTCGATGTTTTTCAGCCAGCTTCTTGATTTGAGCGATTATTTATCGGAAATTAATGTCTTCAGATTGCATGCTAGTCCTCTTGAAGGCGACTTTATCGTCGTAACAGGCAGAGAAAGATAATCCTTTCAGTAAAACAGAAAAATAAATATTATTAATCGTCGATTCGGCTCTCTGCATTATTTTTAGGGAACAATGGGGAGGAAAGGGATGAAGTCAGGCTAGTGTAAAATTTAAACAGGTCCTGAGAGGTTGACTTAGAGGTGGCTTTAAGGGAAGGGAAGAGGGGTCAAAAAGTCGACCAATATACCTTATACGTAATACTTAAATGGCCCTACTACTCAATGATGAGGCGTGAATGACGATATTCGATATTTCCCCTTTTGTAGCTACGGTAAAGAATTGCTTATTTTAAGGTGTTCGTCGCGAATACCCTGTATATCAATCCTTTTCCATGGGTTTCAATGACAGATAAATCGATGTATCGCAAAGCACACCACCTCATTGTTACCATTATGGCTTGGGTACCGAACATCGATCAGTGCGTGCTGCTCATACGATTGAACGTATAGTGTATTTTTCGGAGGAATTGAGAATTTGCAGGTTTCTGAAGTTTGATGAATTTTGTGTTCAAGTGGAAAGTACTGAGTGAACTGAACACGAGGATACCCTTGGTTCATGAATTGAACAATTATTGGAGAGGATACGACAACATGATCTAATCTGCTAAAATACGTGTGTTTAAATGGAAAAATGGCGCCAGATGACGTCACCAGGCGGTGCATTTTCTCACTTTTAAACCTATTTTTACACTGGTTCCCATATCAGCAAAAAATTATAAAAAATACTGTGAAATCGACTCTTTAAGCACTCTCAGACGAAGCAATCAAACATTTCCACGCAAATTCTCCATTACTCTATTTTTTTCCAGTGTGCAATAATTGACATGTTTTAACCAATCTTACGTATGTGCCTTTCTGATGTGTTGGACCTGCTTTCAGTATGGTGAATCCCAACTGGCAACGTCCGAATGGAGTGTCCCAGTGGCGTGGCGTGCTTTGCGATGAATCGATAGATCTGCCATTTAAACCTGTGGAAAAGAATCAATTAACGGGGTGTTCGCAACGAACACCCTAAAAATCGATTCTTTACCATGGGTTTAAATGGCATAACAATCGATACATCGCAATTCACGCCACGCCACTGGAGTGTCCATACGGCGTTTTACTTGAGCTTTACAGCGTTGTGGTCGGTGATTTACTTCAGCAAAATTGCTGTCGATAAATTACATCAAACATCTAATTGAGAGAAGGGGAGCATCTATGGCTGTCTTTCCAGTGCCTCAGAAGAAAGGTGTGAGACAGCGGCGATTCGTGAATGAGCCTTTATCGATTTTTCTCCATTTGAAGCTGTGGTTAAGAATCAATCATTAAGGGGTTCGTTGAGAACGCCCTATCTATCGATCCTTCTCCATAGGTTTAAATGACAGATCAATCGATTTATCGCGAAGCACGTTACGCCACCGCCTGGCATCGAGGGAGGAGGAATGAAAAATAATCGAAACACTGCCGGACGAATAATATGGATGGATGGTCCCAAAGCAGGTTCGATCGACCTCCACACCTTCTTGTCTTACGTTTCTCTTGTTCTAAATAAAAACGCTGTATGAGTGCTTGAATGTTGCCAAATTGCCTCCGAGAGGATA